AAAGCTTCTTCCAATTATGCAACCTATGGGTAGATTCTACACAATTTTTGCAGTTTTGTTCAATTTTTTTCAAATTCAGAAAATCCTGGAGAGATTCGTTCAAAGGATTTCTAATCGGTGGAATTGTAGCAGCCTCCTACGCATTCACTGCTGATGATTTGATTGATGCATTCTCATCAAACATGCTGCTGGGAGAAAACAAAAACTCCAAGAAAGTGCATCAAGAGGCTGACACGTTCTCTATATTTGTTTCCCATGGTCTCGGATTGGTTCTTTTTTGCCCCCTTTTTTTGAATTTTCTTCCTTTTCAACGGCGTTTTTTGGGATTTTCGGATTTTTTTTTTGAATTTTTTCGCAATAATATTCCGAAGATAGATAACTTTTAACACATTTTAATGCAATAAAAATTTTTGGTCGGAGTCCCCCTTTAATGTTTTTTTTTCATTTTTCTAGTCATTTTCTTTTTTTATCCAACATAGTGTTTTTGTTTATCTAAGCCTTGAATGTGTATATCTTTCGTCTCTTCCTGAAATATTGCATCTCTTATGATTTTGCCTGCTTATGAATAAGTCTTTCACCCATACATCTGCCTTACATGGACCCATCCAATTTTTGCATAATCTTCCTTTTTTCGAGAGTTCTTTGATCTTCATTGCATCTTATATCCGTTTTGTCCTCCTCCTTCTTCCTTTCCTCTCCTTTCTCCTTTGCTCCTTCTACTTTTCTAAACACATTTTCAGGTCTTTGCACAGCCTCCCGGTAGAGTGCAAAAACAGCGGAAATGTTGCTTGGTTTTAGAGAAAACGAATTCTTCCTCTATTTCTTCTTCTTCCACTTCTTCTTCTCCTTCCAATGCGATCTGACCCTTACACGTTATTCTCCTTCTCATTTCTCATCTCTCCGTATTCTTCCGCACCTTCTGTTTGATTTTTTTTGGTTTTATTCGCACCCGACTACTATCTATATGAGACTTAAATAACTGCAAACCTGACCCTCTGTTTAATTTCAAAGATTCATTCTCTCACGGCTTCATTTTCAATTAGATTCCTTGCCTTCTTTCGGAGAAGAGAATACAAAATGCACCAGAAAAAAGATAGCAGCTAATGTCTGCGGTCAACACTTCTCCAATGACCTTTGACACCGTTGACACTGCAGAGGGTCATCTCTTTTGCCTGCCCTCCTAACTCTCAACACAAAAAAAAAACTCATCACCAAAATTTTTTCTCTCACCTCTCCAACTCTATCTCTTTCTTCACACTGTGATTCGGTCATTCATATATTTCCCCTACTTTTATTTCTTTTTTCTTTGTGTTAGTTTCATCTTGTCAATCATCATCAGGTGTTGTTTCACTTGTTCCAATCTTTGTATGTGTTGAAAACAAAACCATTCAGATTCCAATCTTGTAAACACCAACACACCGCAAAAAACCTTTGAGACTGACGTTCGGTTGGATCTCAGTGTGTGTATGTTCTACACGACGTCCTTGCTTCCCTCTCATCTCGCTAATTCCACGATCTCATCTAATACGTTCTCTCTGTCTTGCAACAACACACTAGACGTGATAATACGGACGTCATGAGATTTTGGAAGAAATTTTCTTTTTCGATTTGTGTGGGAAACATCTCGTGAGTCTCGAGAGCATGTATCCAGGGGCAATTCTTCTCCCGATTTCTTAGCAGAGCTTGACTAAATGTCATTATATTTATACGTACACCTTCTGACAGCTAACACTCCCCTCGTGCTTTCGCTTCTTCTTTGCTTATATGATTTTCTTTCTTTGTACGTTTTTAACTGCTCAAAAAAGAGTACTCCTTGATCTTCCAGTCTTTCAAATCTCAAATGATGATCTGATGTATTTTTATCTCCATCATCTATCATCGTAAATCTCCTTCTTCCCTCTCCCCCTTTCTTTTCCATCCCTTCGTCCTACCAATGCTCACTTATACACACTCGTCCTCCTATGTCCCTTCTCTGTCCTTCGATCGATCATTCTAGACAATTGCACTGTGCATATCAACAGTCTCATTGTCCCTCCACACTCTCCCCTCTTTTTTCTCTCTCGCTCTTCCTTGCCCTCGTTGACCTGTGTCTCCTCTGGAAGAGAGCCAACGGACCATCGCTCGTTGTGTCTCTGTTTCTTCTTCCTCTTTTACGGTTTATCTGGTCGCGGACTGTCCACGGGCGGTCCCTAGAAGATGATGGCAGTCAAGGCACACCTACATTTTTTTCTGCATTTTGATATTCCGCTGACTCTGTTTTTGTTTATATTTTCCGGATCTTCTCCTGTTTTGTTTACACCACCTCTGCCTAAACAAACTATTCCTACCTCAAGCAAACTCTCAAACATAGCATATTCCAGGTAATCGTCGATCTCATGGTTATCTCAACGGGGCCATTTATCACTGGACGAATTGGAGAGTTAGATCTTGTGAGTCACATTTTTCCTGATTATTTAGTATTTTAAAAATTTTCAGATAAGAGCAGGATGGATTTTCATGCATCGCACGATGAGCGTGGAAGATACGCAACGATTCGAGCAGATGATCAACACACCTGCATTCTGCGTTAAGAAATTCGAGGAGATGTTTTTGCTCAGAAGAATTAATCCTTTCGCACCGAGTGAGTCGTTTTTCACATAGCTTTAGGTTGGAATTAGATGCCAAAACTGGACATGGAAACTTGAGATGTTTAGTACTAATTGAATTTTTCAGCCGAGGACCAACGCATCATGGTATTCAGCCATGCTGATTGTGCCTGTAAGAATGCTCAGGATGCTCGTGAAATCTCGGAAATGAAGAAGCAACTCGAGGAGTTCCTTGCCAAATGGGAGACCGTGTTCAAGCAGCTACCATCTGCTTCTCCAGAGGTTCTTCTTGAAATTGGTGATCTTAAGCAGCAGGTACTTTTGCCATTACAGTATCTGAAAATTGATTTGTAAATTTTAGACAACCGAACAGCTGAACAAAATGGAAAACGTTGAAAGTACAAAAGAAAAAACGGAGGAAGATGATACCAAGACGGAGGAAACAAAGGCCAATAAAGTCGTGGAAACTGCCCAGAATACTGTTGAAACTACCGAAGAAAAAGTTAAGGAAGTCACTGCAGTCAAGGAGAACAATGTTTGGGAGAAGAGAATCAAGGAGAAGGATGCCAAAATCAACAAAGTCAAGACTAATGAAACCAAAACTGATAAAGTTGAGGAGAAAAACAAGCAGCCAGTAGTGCTAAAGTCAGCTTCACTGCCGCCAAAGAAGGTGGAGAAAGTCACGCACCACGGAAATGCAGTCGCTGAGCAGTGCGTCTGGAATGTAGCTCATGTTTCTGGAAAGCCGACACAACCAAAGCCTCAGCAAGAGCAACATCAATCTCAACCGAAGCGTGTATGTGAAGTTTTCACACCATCCAAGCCACCTCCAAAGATAGTCAAACCAATAATTACTCAAGTCATAGTATCAAAACAACCCAAGCAAGCTCCAGAAGCCACAAACGCCATTGTTGAGTCGCGGATCTTGGTTAGTTTTGTGGTCACGGTTTCAAATCAACAAAATGTTCATTTTCAGGAGAAACATATTACTGTAGCATGCGCAGAGCAGAAGATAGACACTCCAATGACCGTTTGCACTGACATCAGCCCAGCAATCACTGAACACAGCAGATCTGCTGGAACACCAGATTCTGGAATGATCTCCGATATTTCGGAAGTCAAGGCAGCTGAGTCGGAAGTTGATAATGTTGAGAAGGAGGCTCCTGTGAAGCAGCTTGTGGGCCGTGACGCTAGAAGATACCGCCAGAAACTTCGTGAAGCCGAGAAAGCCGCGTTGGCGGACGTCGTGAAGGAGGAATCATCCGATGACGTAGCTCAGGATGGTTCATTGAAAGAAAACGTCGAGTCGGAAGTTGCCGAGCCCGAAAATACAGTGCCCACTGGTAAGGAAAGACGGCGACTGAAAGATAAGATGAGGAAGGAGAAGAAAGAACTGGAGAAGTTGGTAGGAAAGTTAGAGGAGTCAACAAAAGGATCGAAAGTGAAGACAGCTACAGAAGCAGTTACCTTTGCTAAATTTACCGTGACAGAAACAAAAACTCCAGAAACAACAGAAAGAAAAGAAGCGACTCCAGAAGCAACAGAAACGAATGCTCCAGAACCATCCAAGACGAAGAAGGCTAAAAAGGCCAAAAAGATCATAGAATCAACGGAAGCTATAGTGAATAAGGACAAGGCGGCCCAGAAAGCTGGAAAAACTCCAGTAGAAGAATTTGATGTTGTTCCAGAGGACCCTGATGTCAGCAAGCCTAAAAAGTCTACTCAGAATTTGGCAGAAAGAGATGAAAAGGTATACTACAGCTTCCCCACAGAAACTTATGTTTGAATTTTCAGGAGATTGTTGAAACTTCTGCTGATTTCCAAGTGCAAAAATTAAGCAAAAGCCAGAAGAGGCGAGTTAACAAGAAGGTCTCACAAGGTACGTATGTGGTCAACGACAACGGAGATCACTCGATCGAGTTGTTGCCTGGCGAGTACAAAATTGTACAACTTGATCAAGATCGCAACATTCAAGAGATTGATATCACTGGTGAGAAAGAAGATAACGTTGATCAGAAGACTGATGAGAAAAAACAAGTTGATAAACCAAAAAAGAAGAAGGTAGGTAGTCCTATCACATTGACAAAAGAAACAATATATTTTCAGCTCCAAAACTTCTACGTCGCCGGAAACTTGTCCAAGGAAATTCTGGACAACGGAAAATGGTTGGCTTATGTTATTGATGAGAAGAAACCGGGTAGCATTCCAAAGTTTGGAGAAGTGAGCACCGAAGAAGTCGCCGAGACCATCAAGCTGCTTGATTCGCAGATGGCTGTGAAGAACGCGACTCAGCCAGACGGATACGTTGACGATTTGGACTACAATTGCACGAAAAACTCTCGCCACGTCACAACAACAATAAAACAGATTATGCCAGAGTTGGATGCAAATTTGGTTCGAGAGAACTTTGCAAAGTTGATTGAAAACGTCGAGCCTGGATGCTACGCTGGACCAACTCAAGAGGAATTCGATACGCAGCCAGACTCTAGCGACTTGCAGTTACTCATTGAGTCCAATCCAGATGGTTTTAAGTTCCATACAGAGTGTGAGTTGATTTGCTAGCTGATTTTTTGGCAGAACTACTGGTTTCGTCGGATTGCTATAACAACATCAACAATTTAACATTGTGAAATCAACTATTTTTTTCAGTTGCCCGTCGAACATCGTCTCTGTTTCTTGGAAACCAGGAATTCCGAGATTTCTGCGTCAAATACTCCAACTCCAAATACGGTGGAAATGGTGAGCAAGATACTCCGAATAATTCGAAATTTTCCTTTTTTAGTGATCAGCTCGCTTATCAAGAAGTACATCGACACTAGAATAGTCTACCATTATGAAGTTTGTGCAGCAGGATTCAAGTTACAAATTCAAAATTATTGATTTACAGCGCTTCAAAAAGTTGGCCGATCGCGAAGCTCATCGAATCGCCAAATGCTGGACACGTGTGACTGACAACACTTCGTACGCATTGATGGTTATGTTATTTATCAACAACCCGACCTCCAACGTCGGATTTGATGACATCGAGCGTGTGCTCTTCCCTCCACGCGCTTGATTCAGTTTTTAGCTACGAAATTCGCATTTCTGTTACTTGTACCACTGATAAGAAATCTCTATAATTGTTATTATTTGTCAATTTTCCCCACCCTGACCTCTCATATTGAGAACAAATCTGCCTTACCCGATTCATATTTATTTATTTAATTTTTTTCATTGTAGCACAACAAAAATGTTCTCTCATGACATCGTCCCATTTCTTCCCATTTTTTGGTGTTTTGTCTCCGTGCTTTCTTTGTTTCCTCCTCTCTTCATTCCCTCTTCATGTGTTCCGTGAAAACTTTTCTCTGTCCACTTATTTTTTCCTCTCTATTGAAAGAGAGTCTCCAAAAAAAATCAAATGAAGTATTTCATTTAATTAGGAGAAAAAAAGAGATGTTATATAGATGAGAAGCGTGTATCGGATGAAAAATGCAATTATTCATTGCTGTAACCTCTCCACTCGCCGCAGTATTTGAATTTATTGCCGCTGCTTTTTGTGAGAGTTGCACAGGATAGAAAAAAAGAGAAATAAGTCCAAAAAAAACGGCATTGACGAATATGTCATCGGCGCTTCACCTTTTTTCGTTTTTTTTCTTTCGTCCTTTTTTTCCACACCATTGCTTTTGTGGCTAGCCTTTCTCTTTTCTTTGTCTTCGAAAAAACGTCTGGGAGTTCATCCTTTGGTGTAGATTAGTAGAAAAGACGTCATGTCTTGGCAAGGGCAAATAGGGGAGATATTATCATCCTTGTAGATCTCACCATAGAATTTCTCTATAAAAAGGAGGCCAAAAATTCATTACATGAAACCCGACTTTTCATTCAATCGCTTGTTTCCCATTCAATAGAATAGTGCTCTATTCTCATTTTAAGGGGTAGTGAATTTATTTGAAAAGAGCTGACCCATCTGCCCTGAAGCGTTTTGTGTTATTTGAGGCTTCTGTCAAACTAAGAGATTTTAGAGGATAAGAGAGTAGAAAAACTATGATTAAAGCTGAAAACCTCATTAAATCGTTTATGTGTTGAGATTTTTTCAGCCCTGAGTTCCCCATTATTCACTTTTCGATCCCGACCGGAAATCAGGTTTTTTTCGTTTTCTGGCAAATATTTAGTAGTCGGATGATCCTTTGAAGTCTTCTCAGCTCTTCACAATTTTTCAAATTATATTTCCATCAAATCTTTTTTGCTCTTACTGGTTTGAGCACACAAACCATAACCAAAAAATCTTCAAAGGTGCGGTCGAGTCAACCTCTCCCATGCATTCTTCAATTTACATAACACTCTGGGTCTACTTTTCTTCTTCCTCTATTGTTCTGCATATTGATTGATTGCACCAGCCACTTTTTCTCCCCTCCCCTGTCTAGTGTATTCCGAACGGATTCACTCTTGGTTGGGAGGTGATAGTGGTGAGTGACGACCTCTCTCCTTTCTCTTTACCTATCAACCTCTCGTAACATTTCAATTGCTAATAATTCGTATGACTTTTTTTTTGAAATGCATCTAATGTTCAAATTTCTGCAGAAAAAATGGCCGATGTGTCTACCGAGTGCTGCCTGTATTATCCCAACCAGTGCTCGAGAATCTTCGACGACATAATGAGCACTTTTGTGAGTTTGTTCTATTATTAAAATCATCAATAATCATGTTCCATCTTTCAGGAAGAGACTCTGGTCCCACTAGAGGTTGTTCCAGATTTTGAAGGCCTGTTTGAGCAGAAGTTGAGACGTATCAAGATGGCTGAACTGTTAAAGGAACCAACCGTTAGAGGAATCTTGGACAATTTGAAGAGTGCCAGAGAAGCCACTGAGAAGAAGATTTGCATAGAGATGGCAGCGGATGTTAACGAAGGCTGGAACTCTACTGATGATGCTTCAACATCATCGGAATCAGATTCGGAGGTGGTTAAATTGATGAAAGAGATGCATATTGACAAAAGAGCCGCCAGAGCACTCTCGCCGTTGGATACGTACATTCCGAACTTCAATTTGGAGAGAACCATGTTTGAGTGGTAAGCTCTATCAGCTATATTTTAGGGTAAAATCATTGTTCGTTTTAGGGGAACCGGTGGGCCATCTTCCAAACAGTATGAGTTGATGTCTTATATTGTCAAGCTGAAGAGAAAAGCTGCTAGAACTTGGTTTCTGGAAAGAGCATCTTGTTATAAGGCGGTTAGTCTTTTTTCTGTGTAGTCAGATTCATAAAATCTACTTTTTTAGTTCCGCGGGAATCAAATGAGCTGGACACACAGCGATGAAGATGTTATGAATGGATTTGAGTTGAACAAGCGTGAGGAGGACTTTCTCATTGCATCCTTTCTTCCGAATGAGGGCTCAGTTGTGAGTTTGACATATAAAATGTTATGTGACTGATAATGTCAAATCCTTACAGATTGCTAGCGACAAACATTGTCACGTGGACGGTCCGTCTCTCGGAAAAGCATTTCTCGGATTAGATTTTCTCACCAAGCGAAATGAGGCATTCAAAGCGTTTGTTGCGAAGACAATGGCAATCGATCCGCTTAGTAAGTTTGCGTGATAAGAAAAAGTAACCGAGTGAGTATTGTTCAGTTCGTGAGCGCCTCGCTTCAAACTATCTCTACAAACGTATGATCGAAGTTAGTTCGTTATTCCACACAACCAAGGAGCTGAAATACAACTACATTCGCATTGCATGGGAGAGAAAATTCAGCCACATGGACGACTACGTCATCTGCCTGATCCTATTCATCAGAGATAAGACCACCAATATTACATGGGAAGAAGTGGAAGAAATTATCTATCCGAAGGCTAAGGAGATTATACGCGCTGGCTTCAAGTTGTCCTTCGACTCGGAATTGAAGAATTTGGATCAAATTCGCGCTGATGTTCCGAAGAGTTGTTGATCCATGTGTTCTTGCCAATGATTCTAACTTATATCAAGTTCATACACTGTATGTTTGTTTCGGTTCCCATTCAGGAGTCATTTTAGGTGCTGAAACTCTGATATGGTTTTTAAACACGGACTCTAGATCTGAAGTTTGTTGTTAGAGTTTCCTTGTTCCCTAGGCTTCTTTACTCTACTTCCTCATTCACTAGCATTTTCTGTAGCTTAAGTCACCTGCTCTTCTTGTTGTTTTCTTTTCCCCAGTAATCCTCTTTCAGTGATCTCGTTTCTTCCCAACACTTCCACTCTTTTGGTCAATCTTTAGCCTTTAATTTTTGTTGAATTGTCATCCTGGTATTTCTCACCTGAAAATTTCAAGATCTAAGTTTCACTTCAAAAGTACCTGCATTTTGTTTACTATAATTTATTTATTCACCGAGCCAAATAAAAATGATGTATGCTGAAAGAAGAACAAGTTCTGATCTTATGTTTTTTGTTCTTAAATGTGATTATCGGGGGAGATAGTTAATCATAATTAATGTTTACGGGAATTAAAATGGTGAATTGTTGGGGTAAAGTGCATGAAAAAGAGTACACGGGAGAGAGAGAGAGAGAGAGAGAGAGAGAGAGAGAGGTGATAATGCAAGATTCTAGATGCGAAGATGTTGCGCAATTGCCTTGTCAATGTCCTCGTCGTATCCAACCAGTTCGAGCAGGTAGACCTGCTCCAGAATCCAGCACCTAAGTGAGTCGATGGGAAGAGTACACGCGTAATTGTAAATGACTAGCAAGTTGATTGGCATGAAAGTTTCAGCGATCAGCAGCGAGAGGAACTTCTCGAGGACAGTTTTATGAAGGCCATCACTTGCCAGGAACTCCTGAAAAAGAGAATAGTGCATTCATATTAGGATAGTATTTTTACCTTGCGGAGGTTTTTGATGGTAGAATGAAAATCCGTGCGAGACTCCACATCGGTTTCTGAAACAACACTTCGTTTATTGTTATTACAACTTTGAAATTCTCACTTCTCATGTTGAGAAAGTCTTCAAAGTTCAGATAATCGTAGTGGGCTACCATGTCATAGGCTTTTTGAGCCAATCGAGCGAACGCCGGAATCTTCTCAGAAGCATAAAAGGCTAGCCAAGTCTCCAGGAACTTTCCTCTACGGGTGCCGTTTGCATCGTCTCTCTCCAAGTACTGGTTGATGCGCTTCAGGATATCTGGGTCCACAGTTGGAGCGTCGATGAGTTCCATGAGCAGTGAGTTTTCTGAAATATAAAGTTTACTGGAACTCCTTCACAGCATCAATATAACTCACTCATTTGGAATTCAACGGTTGGTTCAGCGTTGAGATTCATAGCTTCGAGATTCTGGGCAACTCGCTGCATCTCTGTAAACAACGAAGGTGTGAGAAAAACCTAGTAACACAAGTTTCTCGCGTGTGAAAAAAAGAGAAGAAAAATGATCAAAATTCATGTTTACGAGAAAAGTAAGAAACTGAATCAAACCGGTTGCCCCCTCATTACTCGGTTTGAAGATGGAGTACGGCAGAAAAAGGGGCGGAGACGAAGGGGGAATAAGTTAGATCTTGGGAGAATATATCATCGAAAACAATCTAAACGATAAACAAGTGTGGAAAAAACCGAATGTATTCTCTTTTTTCGGGTCGGATATGTATGCGGCACTATCAAATGATTGACAAGGATGATAGCTAAGAAAAGAAGATAATCCGTTTTTTCACAATTGTTTGCACCCCCCTCTCCATGCCAAGAAACGTCAGAGAAGGGTTTCTCAAAAAACGAATTAGTGGATGCATGTTGCAAACGAATCTCAAATATCTAAGATCGAAAATCGAATCGATTTTCAAATGGCTGGGGAAGTGAGGGGGGGGGTTAAGATTTTAGGGATAAATGGAACAAAATATTCGGTTGGCATTTGAAAAAATGAACGTGAGAGAAGGGAAGTGTGATAAGTTCATGTTGAATTTGATAAGGCTTGATTCAGTTTGATCAGTTTGCAAGTGTTCTAGTTTGATACTGATATACCAAGCTCCTCATTTTTCACAGACCGCACCGGAAATCCTGAACTTTGAAATTTTGAACTTCAACATTTTGAATAAGAAAGAGTATCAACCACAACTGGAGTTCCGATCACAGGAACTGAGTTGGAAGGTTTCTCTTCACAAAAGGCTTAAGAGCCGGAAAGAAATTTCAAATTTGATCAGTTGGAAAGGTTATTCAAGTGCAATCAGTTGTCCTCCACAAAAGTGCACCTTTTTGACCCCGAACGTGATGCCGCCGCGCAATGAGAGAAGAGAGTGGCGTCGCCATGAAAGGGTACACCGGCCTAAGACACACACATTTACTTCTTTCTCTTCTTTCTCTTCATATGCTTCTTACTTTGGCGGCCGTTTGAAAACGCCAAGGTGGCCTAGATATGGCAGGGGTTTGAAAATGTAAAAAAACAAGACAAAAAGTTAGGATAGGTTTGGGTTGAGTGTGTGGAAAAATCGAATGACGAAATGAGTTCGGTCATAAGATTAGTTGTACTATAAAAAACTTAAAGGCGCACACGCAGGTGTTGCACTGGTTGAATTCTGTAAACTGCAGTATCGGAGAGAAAGCGATAGCTCAGAATCAAAGACATAAGACACGTCTCAACATTTTAATCAGTGAATACTGGATTCTGAAATACAATGTTTTTAACTAAATTTATTGAATCGGATTACAAAAATCTTCCAGGAATCTAAAACATTGTTTTCAGACATATATTGAAGTTTTGGAATGACAATTCTAAGATTTTTTCAGAATAGTGTAGTTGCTAATCCGCAAGCAAACAAGTGTGGTTCTTTGGAGAATTCTGTGAAAGCTAATCTGAAATTCGATTTGAGAAAGAGAAAACTGAAAGGAAGGGAAATTTGGATAAAAAATTACAGGAGGTCTGAACACCAAAATCTGAAAAAAATTCCTAAAAAAGAGAAATTTGGAACTAGGAATTTGCAAATGTTTATATTTAAGTTGACGACCAATCTGAAAATCCACAAGCATAATTCGACACCTTGAAAACATTGATTTTAATGAAAATTTCAGGTTGCGTTAAGAATTGCATATCTAGACAATTCTGAAAACTTTACAATCAGATAGACATTTGTTGTAATCGTCTTCAGTACCAAAAACCGCGTTTTTAGGGCAGAAACAGCAATTTCGAAGACGAAGATTTCGAAAACGAAGACCAAGATTTCACACTTCCAGAACGTCTTAAAACATGAAGTTTGTTGTGTTATACTGAGAATCTAATTGAATTTCATATTTCAGACACTTTCTCAATCCAATTTTCTACACTTGCTATTCTCAGATTTGATAAACTCATAAATTCTAGAAAACTCTACTCCGACGAAGGACCAGACCTGTCATGAACCATTTTCATTTTGTTGAGCGGCATAAGGTTTGACAGGTTCTCCATAAAATTTTTTCAGAAGTTTTCAAATCAAAGATCTAGCTATCTTGGAGATTAACATTGTCTAGGTTTTTCTTTCTTAAAAACAATAGAATAAGATCATCATTTTCATTTTCAGTCATTTTTCCCAGTTCCATTTTTATTATATTTATCACTCTTCCTCAAGTGGATCCACCTCGTCTTATATCATCTTTTTTTTCTCCGAAAAATGGCTGGTAAGAAAAAGAACAAGGAAGATAGAATTTGAAATGTTCTGTGTATGAAGGACAACCAATATAAAGAGAGGGACGTCCATTGAGCCAACGAAATGAGATTCGGGTCGTAGTGCCCTTTCTTCATCAAGTACGAATTGTGTTAACGACTCTTGAGAGCCTAAATTATGTCTTGTGCATTTCAGCTTCTAGTTTGAAAAGCTCGTTTTTTGCATCTCTCCATCCCTTTTTGCTTTTCTTTGAAAAAGCATTCCGCTTCACAAAATCTGTTTCACCTTAAAATGTTCAAATCTCGTCTTGCAGAAAACATTAAGATAAGCTTTTAAACATTTCCTTATTTTTCAATTCCCCCCCCCCCCCCCCCAAAATTTGAAGGTTTCCATGAATTGAGATTTGTGAATTATCCAATTTGCAATTTTTAATAATTCTTTTCTCTATCCCAATTTTTTCTGCACAATTTTTAAACTAGCAGATGAATGTCAAAAAGTCGACACTTATGCTATTCTCACCCACGAATATTTCCGAGTGGGAGAGGTGTGGCTTCTTTTTTGCTCTTTTTTCTGCTATCGTTTTTTTCCCGCACCCGCACTTCTCACCTCCCCCTCTCAATCCACTTTTCCAGCCCATTGGTGGAGATCATAGTTTGCATGTATGCATGTTTCCGTATCAGTGTGTGCCAAGAGAGACACCTCGAGCTCCCACACCTAGGTCTTATTCAAATAAAGAGGGCGGAAAGTATTTAGTTTTGGAGTGAAGCGCTCGTATTTCATTCTTATCCCCTTGATCTGTCTTTATCAAATCCAAATCCTCGAGATGGCTCAACTTTCGCTGATATTTCCGATTTTTTTTCAGAGGATGACTGGCCGTTTCTGAGTAATGGCTTTTGTTATATCATTCTTATCCCTTTTTTCCAAACGCCACTTTTTGCAAATGGCACTGTGTTCTCCCTATTCTCTGTTCCCAATATACCTCATCAATGACTGATTAAAAGGACGGCTACTAGATCTTATCTATTGGATCAACCCATCCGAAAGTTACCTGTTACTCTCAATCTTTGGAAAGTAATCTAATAGGTCAGACTATTTTTTGCGACCCGGTGGATTGCCGGTAATATATAGAGTTCATTCTCCAATTTCCTCTAAATTGGCGTTTTCCCTCTCAACTCGTTGCTCGGACCAATTTCATTCTTTTCTCTATCCTCCAACGCCTCGTATCCAATTTATTCCTTCTTTTTCTCTTCATTTCAGTTTTTAGGTCCGTTCTCCTCAATTGCGGGGGCTTTTTTTCTGTTTCTCACTTTTATGTGCTTCAGGGGAGAGCAAATCGGCCAAAAAAAAAATACCACAAACACAGGGATGCTAGCCTCATCTCGATTCTTCAGCCATGACCCAGAGGTGAGGTATTAGAAGAACTTTGCTCTTCTCAATCAACACATTCATCTCGTTTTTTAAGCTGGCAGCCATTTTCGATGAACCAGTCACCAAACGCTATGGTGTTGTGGAGTATGAGGAGAAGCCATACAAGGGTTTCTACAGACAGGAACTTCTTAAAATCTACATGAGGTATGTGTGTAGAGTTTGGTCACGAGAAAAACAAGAGACACATTTCAATCTAATTTTGTGTGTTTAGAAGAAACTATCCAACAGCCACGATGCGATCAGATCTTGTCGACAGTATGAATACAAGAATGAAATTTACAAATCCTGCCTACTTCCAACATCCACAGTAAGTTTCTCACGTTGTTTACTTCTAATCAAATACTTTTCAACTCGTGTAAACATGAATTAAAATGATTCTACCTTTTTTGGTCGATGATCTCAAGAAGTTGTTTGAAAGTTTAAAAGAGAAACAGAAAGTTTGGTTTCTCACGTCAATTTTCTTCTCATCAGATTGCTATTAGACTTATTCACATCTCCTGATTAGTTCAATTTTTCGAGCACAAATTCCACAAAAAGAAAAAGCTAACAAGAATGTAGCCTTGCTTAAAACCCCTACGTGCATCCGAATGACATTCAGATACTTGAATTCACTTTTTTTAAAAAAAAGCACACACACAAGAGCTATTCACCGGAAATGTGATATTCTGTTTCACTAAAATGTCGAATCGGGAATAATTTTGCAATAATTTGTGCAAAACTTAATTCAAGAAAAGGGACTGGTTTTTTTTGCAGGCAGGTGTGATTTGTCACGTTTGCAACACAAAGTTTAGAAAATGAAGAGAAACTAGAAAGTGTGAAAGTACCGGCATAGAAAAAAGAACTGAAGAAAAACCTCATAAACTGAGTTTTTATGAAATTCCTAAGGTTTAGAGGATTTTTGAGTTTCAGAAAATTCAAAGACAAAATTGGAATTTCCCAAAGAATAACCATTTTTTTCGTAGTTTGCATTACGTGGGTTCATAGGTTCGCGAAATTCAAAACTACCGTAAAGGCACTAAAAGAAACCCACCCTATACGTGCACTTCGAGTCCAATTATCTCGATTATTTTGGAAGATATTGGAAAATGGTAAACTGATAAAATGTTTATCATGATATAACTACAATTTATTTGTTTATCAATGTTTGAAATCTTTCATGGCTATCGAGATAATTGAGCTCAAAGTGCACGTATATGGTAAGTTTCTATTCGAGCGCTCATCTCGGTTGCCATGAAAGATTTCAAAAATTGTGAAACTAATTAAATGCTAGTGATATTATGATCGACATTTCATCAGTTGATCACTTTCCGATACCTTCCAAAATGATTGAGATAATTGAGCTCAAAGTGGATGTATTGGGTAGGCTTCTATTAGAGAATTTTCAGAACTTGATTCTCATCGAAATTTGATATTTTATGGTTGAAAATTTTTTTTACTTACAGAAAATTAGGACAATTATTTTTTTCAAATTTTCTGAAACTCCACTCTTCTATCTTTCCACTTTTCTCTTCAGTTTTTTCAGAAGATTCCTGGAAACATTCCTCCTTCTGTTCACCTCTTTTTTTAGTATACAGGATTAATTGTTGTGAATATATTTATTATCTCCTTGGCTGATTCACAAAGTATTTATTCTCAGAGTCGACAAGAAAGAAAACACCGAGAAAGCTCTTGAGTACCTACAGTATCTCGAAACCTCAAAACGCTTTGTCTCCTACTCCATTCGTGCCAAAGATAGTTCTGAATACAGACGTACGTTTGATTAGAAGATTTTCTCTCATCTACTTTCTTTTTCCAGATATTATTGAACGTATGCGCGATTCCTTGAAGTGCTGGCTCGAAGAGCTCAACGAGGTGGAATAAAAATAAATTAGCCATATTCATATTCAATCTTTTCTAGATAAATACAAAAGCGGACCATATCCATTTCCTGAACGAGATGTTGTTTGTCAGGAATCTCCAGAGCTATCCTCTCCCAAAAAGATGGATTGTACTTCTTGCTTACTACCACAATATGCCAGAGTACGAGCGTCTCTTGGCAGCGCTCCGTGTGATAACCGAGTACGATGGAGATCGTGCTCCGAAATTCGAAGCAGATATGTTCGAGTTATAAATCTCCACCTGACTTGATTCCAGTGATCCCTTTTACTTTTCGACAACGCTCCTCCTCACAAAAATATAAATATTCTCGTACACATGCACCCAAAACTTTTCCAAACGTTTATTCCTTGGTGTATGATTTTCAAAGTTTGACGTCATCAGCACTTATTTTGTATCAATTTCCTATATCAGTATACATTTTTTGCCCAATACTTTGTGATTCCTCCACTTTCTCCTCCCCTTTTCAATTCAAAATTCCAATTTCCTGTGGTCTATGGTTGATTGAAAGAATGTCGAACTTTGTGTCCAGAATAAAAAATCTATTTTCATTTATCAAGTTACCAGGCAAACCCAATTAGGGAAACATCATTTATGTTTTGAAAGGGACCGCTAAAACGACCCAAAAATAGAGAGATAACACCTGAAAAGATAAAGACCACAAAAACACCGTTGTACGAGACATACCAAATTTATTCACCTTTTCTTATTCACCCAGCACGAAAAAGGAGCAACAAGAAACATAATTTAGGAGAAGAATTTCATCCCCAAACCGGGCGCGTCCTTGGTCGTTTCGCGACAATTTTCCAGTAGTTTTTTCTTTCTCTTTTCTATTTTTATCCTAGACTACTTTTTTTCTGCCAAAAGTAGTCTTCGAGTCCAGGTGTCTACCAAGTTTGGTCGTTGATTTTTCGAACTACTTCCCTTTGCAACTTATCAAGTGTCAGAGAAAGTTCTGCGTGTTTCCAAGAATATCAAAAGAGACCTTAGGGTGTACCCATTATCATTAATGTTTTGGTTTGATACTTTCAGTCGTTTGTCTACACTGTGTAATCAACAAAAAAACCTTAGTTCATCGCGACCCGCCTAAGTTTCCGTGCGGGGCGTCAACACACCTCTTTTTTTATATTCCAGGAGAGCGAACCACAAATGCGTTCTTTTCGTTCCTCTCTCGCCTTTTCCGATTTTCGCTTCATCTTTCTGTTCATGTCCATAAATACGTTTTTCTTTCTCTCTCCCCGCGTGTTTTTTCCCCGAACTAAATCATTTAATAGCATGACGAAATTCAAAGAATATTTTTCTATGTGTCCAACCAGATCCACCTTCTGTCTTCTCTATCTTTGTCCGTCTGCCAAACCAAAACACATGAATTTTCGAATTCGGAGATTTTGAAGATTAGAAACACGAGGTGCAAAGGTTCAGGTAGTCCGGCTGAGAGGGGTTTCGGAAGCAAGCAACGCTTCGATTTAAACATATTATAATATACAATTTCGTTCATTTGTGTGCACCTTCCTTTTCATCCTGGAGGTCTCATTTTCTTTCTGCCCATCTGTTAGTAGGTGTCCTTTCTTGTAACCATTTTTCTTTATATTGGCACACTGAAAATACGGAAGCACATAAAAGCATATGATTTTTTCGCTTTTATATGAATAATTTTTTCCCGTTCTTTTATGTCCAAAGAAACCATTTTTTGCTTGCCCTTTTTGTCTTTTTTCTCAAAATATTGAAGACGCACGTTTTCAGCTCTTCTCGCTCCGTTTTTGTAGCCATCTATACGATTTTCATGAGGTTTGTAGACTATTATTCAATGTATTCTCTTGAAAAAAGCCCATTTGTAGTTCCCCACTGAGAAGGAAGAGAAGATCCGACACTAATTTAATGGAGGGGCTATCGGATGAATCAACTTCGGAACCTATTCCTAGAATTCTTGTGAAATTCCCTTCTGCTATGGAGGAACAGTATCCACCACCACCAACACCACTTAATGAAGGGTTTCTTCGTGCGGACCTCCTCGAAATGACCGATATGCCAAGGTACTGGACTTCTGTGCACCACTTAGGAACTGGGTAAAACTTTCACTTTTGAAAATATTCTACTTTTCAATTTAAGCGCATTTGGAGAAATTCATTTGGTCCATTCTGATCGTCCGGATGCTCAACAAACCAAAATTTTACACTCTGAATTTGTTGTTAAAATTCTGAAATTTCCTTTGAGCGAGTTGGTTAATGTTGTCAGGGAAGTGGAAATGCATCGGATATGTCGGGACCATCAAAATGTTCTTTTTGCCGGTGTCACATATTGTCAGCCTTTTAAGGAAGGATATAGAGTACAAGTGAGTGTAATAATTGAAAATTTGGTATTAGTTTGAAACACAAGAACACTGTAGAAGGTTTCCGGATTACAAAATAAAAACAAATTACAAGTCCAGAAATCAAGAACACCGCTCTAAAGATGTATCACTTTCAGATGTGCCTTGAATATGCAGCTCTTGGAGATTTATCACTGTTTGCTAACAAAAAGAAAGAAGAGCGTCATATTGGATACGTGCTCAAGGAGGTTGTTTAATTTTTTTATCTTCATGCTCACGTCCAATTTTAAAGGTAATATACGGACTATCCTACATCCACGAAAAAGACATTGTTCATGGTGACCTCAGTGTGCGGAATGTTCTAGTCACACACAAAGGAGTGATCAAGCTTTGTATGTTATTTTTGGCTCTTTCTATTCAGACTCATGCTAAAAACGTTTTCAGCTGACTTCGGCATGGCTGACAATTTCAAAAATACAACACGTCCAAGAAAAGGTCTTATCAAAGGGACGCCGGGATTCGTAAGTTGAGTTTCGTGTGATTTCTGTCATATACGTTTCATTCAGATTGCCCCGGAAGTAATGGATATGAAAAGTTATGATAACAAGGCTGATATGTGGAGTCTTGGAATATTTGCTTTATTTTTATTGACCGGAGGGAATCCATTCAAACTAGGACTAATTTTTAATTTACAATCGGTTAGATTTCTAAAAATTTTGAATCATTCATTAATGTTGAAATTTCAGTACCGTAATTTGTTATCTCAACATTTCTATCCGGATCTCAATAGATTGTTGCTATCATATAACTTTAAGGTATAGAGCGATAAGTATTAAAATCTTTTAAAAATGATTTTCCAGAGCTTTATGTCCGATTTGAAACACTACGATCCGGATGAGAGGTGTGATGCATTTGAGATTCTGTCAGAACCAATCCTTCACGAATGTTGCACATCTAGAGAGTTCATGGAGCTCTACAGTCAGATGAGAATGTCTAATGGAAGAACATTTCCATATGCTGAACAATCGGAAGTTCTCGTTGTTCCAGTTACTCGGGAGTGAACATTTTGTGGCATCTAAATTGTTTTTTCTTGCTTTTTCTGGTACCCTTCATATTTGTATATCTGAAAAAAGATTATGTTTGAAGAAATAGTAGGAAAAATATAAACTTACTTTCAAAACTCGAAGTCTGAGAAAATTCCGCAGTTGGTGGTTGTCTTCTCTCCGTGTCCTTCTTCTGTGTTCTTTTACGACTTTCAGTCATTTGAAAACTTTGAAAACTAACTATCCTTCTTCATGGTTTGTCTTCATAGTTACAACCAAACGACAGTTAAGACTAATGATAATAATCTCTTTCTCAAAATGGGACGTATACTTTTTTGCGCATTCCTTCCTTCTGTGTTGTGTACCAGATGAAGAAAGAGAAAAAAGAAAAATACATACACAGGTCACATTACAATTCGAATGGAGAAGAGAACACAAAATAGTGTATCTGTTCTTTTTACCAAACATGTACTCTTGCCTCCAGTTCATCAAATGTTGTCTTTTGTTCGTTTCACAAGAAGAATATGCTAATTGGTTTCTATGTTCTCCCAGGCTTGTTTTTTGTCCATCAATCAAAAATGTAACCCGATGTTCCTAAATATGGATTTGTCATATTTCAATATACTCCAAAATTCAAATCTTCCACCCCATAATTAGACTCCACCATAAAACGGAAGAATCAATAGAAATGTGGTACTCTTTTCTCTGCCATCTTTAGAGTGTTTATTTCTTCTTTCGCGATTGGTTTCTTTTTTCTGCAGTTCCCTTTTTTCGTGATTCACCAGTTTTCTTCACTATTTTGTACCAAAACAAATACGTTTTCAGGCACTATAATGTCATTTTCTGGGACTTCCTTTGGTTTGTCCTTAACAACCGCTCTGAATGCCATAAATCACGCGAATGATAAGAGAGCAACGGAGGAAGTAGCTAGTGATGAAGGATTAGTATTTACAATGGAAGATGTTTGTCAAGAATTGGAACAGTTAAAAACCCAGGTTTCTTTTTCCAGTGTACGGTTCTCTTATAGATTAGGACTAATCACAAGTTTAAGTGGTGATTTAGGCATTTAGAGCTTTGATATTTCCTCCTAGAAACCAACTCGTTATCTTATCAGTCACAATGTGTTGACCACGAAAATACGTCTGTAGCCATCGGCAGACGTTTTGTAGACTGTGGAGAGTGGAACTTTACGATAACAATGAAGTCACAAACCGGTATCTAAAATTGTTTCCGGAATCATAATGATAGTTCAAAGTGGTCAACACTGAAACTTTGACATCAAGAGTTATGCTGGTAAAGTTTTGGACAAGAAATACGAATGGCCGTGGCCGAAGAACCGCACACCACAAACTATCGTAATTAAAAATACATTCATTTTCGGGATTTATTTTTTCAATTTCCGCTCGTTTTCAGTCGATTGTCAAAATGATCTATCTTGGGACTTTTCTGGAGGAAAATAAACAAAAGCCGACTAAAACAGTGAAAAAACGAGAAAATAAATCATGAAAATATAATTACCGACAAGTTACGGTGTTTGTTCGGCCACGGGCACAGGCATTTTTCGTCCACAGCTCCGGTGCTCCGGTTTTTTGCACCAGCATATCAGTCATCAAAATCATAATTTTCAGGTAAAAATTGTGACGAATAGAAAACCCACATCCGGTACCGGTGCCAAATTTAAAGCAGCCAAATTGTATGAGATGGTGAGTTTTCAGAAAAGTATCAGACTTTATTTGTTTTCTTATTCAGAAAAAGAACGGGAAAGGTGTAGGAAAACTAGACGATCCCTTCGCCAGTCACGTGTCGTCCCTGAATCCATGGTCGTATTACAACCGAGATGCCAAATTCATGATTCATAATAAGAAAATGAAGAAACTATCAGATGATGGTAGCATAGAGGATTTTCTCGAATCTTTTAGTAAACTTTTTCAGATGTCATCCAACTAGCTCACTTTGAAATTGGAAAACGCATAGCATATCATAAAGAGGTTAGTTTTCAAAAAATTGAAGATAAATGTTGAAAAAAGAATTTCAGAGATGCGAGAACAACGAGAACCGAATGCATGTTCATTTTCGGCACAAACTTCAAGAGCTCAAAAATCGAGTCGATAGATCAAGAGCAATCGTTCTTACTTTCGTGGTCCGAAGTCATAAAGAGGACGAGATTGAAGTTCTGGAACGAAAATTGTTTCCGTTTTCCACACGATTGTTACTGTCAATGGATTAGGAAGAAAATCACGAAACTGTCTTGTACAATCTCCTCTTTATAATCATTATTGTTCATTACCAATAATTAGTTCTAATTTTTTTCGGTGTACAATTCTTCACTAAAAAACCTGTGAGCTGCCAATCGTATGAAAAAATTCCACGGTTTCAAAAAACTGAAGCAAACCAAGTTTAGAAGGATGTTCGAAATTCAACGTTTTGGACTTTGAAATTCCCCATTTTTTGCTCATTTCCACTTGCTCTGATAATCCCGTTCCCACATGTAGCTGAAAACTTAACTTTTTTCGAAAAAAGCCCGGAAACCTCCCAAAACACGTTCGGATTATCGTATTTACTCTAATAGAATTTTCTCCAAACTTTCAACTTTGAGCTAAATTATCTCGAAAACTGTGAAAGATATCGAAAATGTATCAACTGATGAAGTGTTGCTGAAACTGTGATAAATAATTTATGTATTGACAAAGTTTTCATATATCCTACAGGAATAGAGATAATTGAGTTTAAATTTGACGATTTGGGTGAGCTTTCATCAGAAGAGACATTAATTTAAACAAAATGTCATTTTTTCGAATTCCGTTTGATTTCTTCCTGGTCCCTTTTTCTTCCAAATAAATGTTTCAATATTTTTCCATTTGTGATTTCTAACTCCTCCTGTTCTATGTGGACGATGCCTCCTGCGAAATCTCGTCCCTTTCTCATTAAAAGTTCTCACTCGAGTGCTCCCCGAAAAAGCTATTTGCCTGAGTAAGCTCGAGTCAGATGAAATTTGATGTATTCCACAAAAAGGAATACGAGCATGGGGACGCACAACCAAAGTAATAAATCTAAGGAGTGCGTATCTTAGAATCTAGTGTCATGAAAAAAAAGCTGGGTGGACTAACAAAGTTTATGATTGACGGTGCTTTTTCTTAAATTTTGCTTGTTCATGTGGTTAGTTAACAGCTTCAAAATTTGGATTAGTATTGATTCACGATGTCTCATATAGTTAAGACTACAATGTTTAAATTACCAAACATTGTCTGTTTTAATAGTTGCACTTTGTGTGTCTCTAAGAAAATGTGAGGTAGTTAGTAGTACTGAAACTGTAGATGATAGTTGGGTGTTTCTCAAAATCTAAAAGAATGGGGACTAATTATTTGTGTCGTTTCTATACTAGTTTTTTTTTGTTTACGTCTTTTTTTTATTGTCTTACAGTAGTTGATGCTATCCATCTAGCAGCGGCGGAAATCTCACACACACACATCATGAAAGCTCGCATGAAATTTCCTGTCCGATACATCTACGGAGCACCCCTAGCAATTATTCTTACGAAGGAGTCATAAGAAAAATGGGTCGCTTCCTAATGTTCTTCAGCTGTCACACATCCGAACGCTTCCTGCCAAAAAAAACCTTGCGTCTTTGGCGCAGATGCTCAAATTCCCTCCTTTTTTGTTCTCTCTTTCATCTGTCGCATTTGCATTTTGAACCATTTACCACCCACGTAATTGTCTTTCTATTCGCTCAACAAACTTTTCATGGTCAGAACCATCATTACCGTTTTTTCTGCTCTTTATTATACTTCCACTTCCATAAAGTACAACATTCTCATGATATATATTCGTCCATGAACACTTGTCTACCTCCATGCTCGCATCATTTTTCTCTCCCCCCCCCCCCACTTTGGTTTGAGGGGTCTAAGAAGTAAAATGCGTCGTCGGATAATAGAAAGTGAAAATGGTGAAGTCGGTGGTTTCCATTCTCGTAAATTCGGTGTCATTAGTCCAACATGAGCTTCTTTTACTGCTCTACGTTTGACTTGATTTTGTGAAAAGCGCATTTCTCGTGACGAGTGTCAAAACGACGATTTTTTAAAACGAATTTCATCATATTTATTTCCAGTAGAATTCACAAAAAAGGGAAAATTAATAAGGAAACTTGCCATTCATTTTGTTGAAGTCTGAAGTTATGAAGTCACAATTTTCAAAAAGTCGAGTTGAATTTCCAAACTGATTGAGGTCACAACCGCGACACACTAGTATACAAAATTGTTTATTCGAGCTCGAATATGTCAATTTTCCAGTTTCTTCATTTTTCTTTCTGAACAACGGTATTTCAAAAAAGTCCTGATTCTTCAGTAGAAGCTTCGACTAACAACAACCAAAAATTTTATACGATTTTCCTTAATTTTAGTTCCAATGAACTCAAAATGTGTTTTGAAACCTATTCATTTCAGATTTGTTGTTTAAAACTATATTTTGAATTTTCTAGTAATTGAATAGTCCGCGAAAAAATATATTTGTCAGAATTTAGGTGGCTAGATTGTTTGGGATGGTTGCTTGGACTTCTAACTCTCCTCATTAGTGTTCCCATTCCGAATGGAAAAGAAAATTATACCCCTACTTTTATCAATCTTCATCTAGGCTAATTATTTCATATTTCTTTCTGAAGTCTCTAGCCATCATAATACAAATTTTTACATTTACTTCTTCCTTCCCTCATTTCGCAACGCTTCTGTTTTCCCGGGTTACTGTAGTTTCGGGCCATCTCTCTGTGTTCCTTACCAGCCGATTCATTTTCGACGACCTCTCTCGCTCATTCGAATCAGCTCACGCATACGAAACAATCAGCCTTTCTGTGTGCGGGCGCAACGCCAAAACACGACACTCTTCATTCGACATTTTCCCAAAAAATATTCCATCTCTATCATGTGCGGATTCATTTAGTGTCGGTGCCTAGTAGGAATAAGTTGATGCAACTGAAGGGTAAGAGATCCTAAACAACTCTAGTGTACAAAACCTTTTATTCGGACTTGGATGTATTAATTTTCTAGCTCCGAACGTTTTTCCTAGTTGAAATACTAAACTGTCAAGAGTTCGCGATTATTTAGCAGAAGCTCAAAGCAATATTAATAAAAACTTAATGCGTGGGTGTTTCTTGTGAATGAAAAGATAGCAAACACGTTTTTTTTTTCAGAATTTGGGCCTTTATACTGGTTGAGATGGTTGTTTGGACTCTCTTAATTAGCTTTTGCATTTCAAATAGAAGTAAAAATTGTACTCCTCGTTTTATTAATTTATATCTGGGCAGGCCATTTTATATTTCTCTCAAAAATTTCTAATCATCATGATACAATTTTTTCTTCTACCTCTTTTTTCCCTCATTTTGCAACTCTTTCGGTTTCTCGGGATACTGTATTGTTTTGTCAGCAGATATTTGTCTAACCACGCGCCAACCCCTTCTTCACAACTCTATGCGTCCCTAATCAGCCGTTTTATTTTCCCCGTCCTCCTTTCGCCCATTTGAACTAGCTCAATCATTATGAAATAATCACCCCGTGTATCACTGCTTATTATTTTCCGGGGTACTGTTGTTTTGGGTCAGCGGATATTCATAAAACCACGCGACACCCCTTCATACAACTCTCTGTGTCCGTTACCAGCCGATTCATTTTCGACGACCTCTCTCGCTCATTCAAACCAGCTCACACATATGAAACAATCAGCCCCTATGTGTGCGGGCGCAACGCCATAACACGATACCAGCATACTTGTAAAATTCCAGGCCGGGCCGGGCCTGAGGAAAATTTCAAAGCCCGGGCCCGGCCCGGAAGGCCCGGTAGCAAAAATTTTGTCATTTTGAACCGAATTTTGAGCTCTCAATACAATTTTTTATATTTTTTTGTGCTTTTTGGATTTTTTGTCTGTTTGATCAAAAAATATCAAAAAAAAACTCGAAAAAAAATTTTTGATCGAAAAAAATCACATAAGGGTTCCCCCTTATGTGATTTTTTTCGTTTTTTGGAATTTTCAAAACTTGTGGAATGACAGGCCCGCCAGGCCGGGCCGGGCTCGGGCCGGGCCTCCGAAATTCGGGAAAAAGCCCGGCCCGGCCCGGCCCGTTACAAGTATGCTTACCAGTCATTTTATTTTCCCCGTCCTCCCTCTTGCCCATTCGAAATAGCTCAATCATTATGAAAAAAACAGTCCGTGTATCACTTCTTACCATTTCCCCAGAATACTACAGTTTTCGGTCATCAGATATTCATAAAACCACGCGACACCCCTTCATACAACTCTCTGTGTCCTTTACCAACCGAATCGTTTTCGACGACCTCTCTCGCTCATTCGAACCAGCTCACACATATGAAACAATCAGTCCCTGTGTGTGCGGGCGCAACGCCATAACACGATACTCTTCATTCGACATTTTCCCAAAAAATTATTTTCCGTCTCTATTCTGCGCGGATTCATTTTGTGTCGTTGCCTAGTAGAAATGTGTTGGTGCAACCAAAGAGAAAGAGATCCTAGGCAACCCAAAGAGAAGAGAATGTATTCTCTGTTTTAGATACATTTAAGGCAAAGCCTTTTCCTATTCTCTCTCTTTTCCTCTTATCTCCTCTATCTGATATTCCTCATTTTTGCTTAGTCATCCTCCAGAAAACCTCTATTTCTTCCAATTTGTTTCAGAACATTTCAAACAGTGGGAACCTCGATCAAAACCAATCAATTATTTGAGCGCCATCGAATCTTGCCTCGATAATCTCGGCATCACTTTGCTGTCTACTACCTCCTTTGGCGTCATCATTCATTGATATGACACGGCAGCTAGGCCCTTCGAACCAGCATCTCGAATGTTCTCCTCGTCAAGGTCAGTTATAGAAAGTATCTTTACGCTTGTTACAAAATATTCCTTGCGGTTTGAATGTATTGTTATCGCGTTTCCTTCAGCAGTCGCGCGAGATTTTTGTGTCATAACATAACCCTTTTGCCGCTGGATACTAGCAAAGTGCCAACGTGCGTCCTGCCCGGGGCGTCTAATCTCTATTCGACCGGCGCCGCCGGTGACAACTATCAGAGATATTGTTAGAAACGGAGAGACATTCTGCCACCGATCGCGCCGCAGCATCCCAACCCTATCTCCATAGCTCCTCGCGTCGTGAGGGGAACTATATTCTAATGTTAGTGTGAGCGAGAGTACGTGTGTGTGTGTGCGTTTGTGAGTATATGTGTATGAGCGCCCTCTCCAAATTTTTCGACCCTTCCCTGTGTTTCCGTCCATTTTGATTCTTCTTATTCTCCCCGTCTTCCTCTTGTCGCGCACCTATTCCAAATGATTTTAAATAGCTGTTCCAGCTATGGTCTATGCAACAAGGAAGGAGCTAAAAGATGCGATGGCGCAGATCCGAGTGAAGTACCCCGGTGCGAGCGATTTCTATGAAGACATCGAAGTACACTTGGACGAATTCCATAAATGGGAGCGGAGCCTCAAATTGGAGAGCATTTTCATTCGTGCGATCAGCCTACCGGAAGATGACGACGGCAGTGGAATACACGTTGGACGGACTACCTACCACTGGGGAATCGGTGAGTATTGGGATCAATGAGAGATATTCCTTGGGGATCGTGAACAAAGTGAAGGATTCAGTAAATAAGAAATCATTCACAGTGAATCAAAACAGTTTTTGCCCTCAAAGATTTCTCAGTAAATATGACTCATTCGATATAGAACAAAATCTGTTTGAAATTATTTCATAGACCTCAAAATTGTTGGGGATCTCAGTGTTCTCGGGAAGGTTCAACTATTGAAACTTCTCAAATCAAATATTTTCAAATAGGTATTTTGTTCTTTATGTAAAGAGAGGGGAGAGGAGAGTGGGCAAATACATCAAATACCTGGAAAAACTCAAAATGTGAACCCTCGAATTGTGATTTTTGTGCCCCTAAATTACTTTGTCCTCCCTTGTACCCCCGAGTTGTTGTTTCCTTCGAATTATTAGGTTGGCGGGAAAGTCTTTGTCACTTTTTCAATAGTTTATTTCTCAAAGAAAAAATAACCGAATAATTAATTATATTGTCCATCATTATCAACAACATGTCTCCAACGTTCCCTCAATTTATGGATTCCATTGCGGTAGAATCCAGCCGGGCGTGAGGCAAATATTGTTTGAGTGCCGCTTCGACCGCTCCACGGGAATTGAAGCTTCTTCCTTCGAAGGCACGTGTCATATCGCCAAATAACCAATAGTCGGAAGGAGCAAGATCAGGAGAATACGGGGGGTGAGGGAGAACATTCCATCCATATCCCATCAGCTCCTGCTTCACTTGTTTCGAAACATGTGGGCGAGCGTTATCATGTTGATAGTACACTTTCTTGTCTTTCAGGGCCGAACGGTCGACTGCTTTCTTGAGGTTTCGTAGTTGAGTAGTGTAGAGGTCTCCAGTTATTGTTTTGCCCTCGGGCAGAAGTTCCCAGTAGATGGGGCCGTCCACTCCCCACCACACAGAGAGCATAACTTTTTTCGGATGAAGGTCGGGTTTGGGGACATCCTGTGGGCTCTCTCCTTCTCCAACCCACTGGGATTTCCTGTGGTGATTATCGTAGAAGACCCACTTCTCATCTCCGGTTATTAGCCGGTCCAGCCATCGATCGCCCGCGTGGAGAGTGAGAAGAGTAATCGAATCGTCGACTCGGCGGTCAAGGTTGGCTTGAGTCAGGTGATGAGGTATGAATCGACCAAAAAGTTTTCTCATTCCAAGAGACTTCAAACCTTCAAGGACTGTGCTTTGGTGAACTCCGAATGTGACAGCTAGTTCACGGCTAGATTGAAATGGATCCGAATGCAATGCGTGCTTCAGCTTGTCCAAATCCAACTCACGGGGTCTCCCAGAGCGATCCTTTTCATCGAGCGAGAAGTCATCTTTTTCGAAACGATGGAACCAATTGCGAATAGTATTGTAGTGAGGGGCATGTGTGTTGTACACATTCTTCAAGAAAGTTTCCGAATCCTTCATCGTGGTGTGAGATAGGAAGAGGTAAATCAAAACATGTCTGATGTGAATAGCAGTGGGAACAAACATATCGTTTCAATTACAGATGAGGAGCAGGGAAGGAGATGGGGACTTGTTTATATGGAAGGTTCTTATCACCTTGTTATTCACTAAAGTCGATATCATACACAGCCTCCATATACGAGAACAGTGATTAAACAAACAGAGTGACAAAGACTTTCCCGCCAACCTAATATGTGTTCAAAAGGGGGTAGAGGCTCACAGAAGCATAAGTGAAGAAGTATGTGAGTTTAAAAAAGAGAGTGACATCAAATCGTTCATGCCGATTGAGAAAAAAAAGTAAAGGGCTAATGAGAATACAATTTTAGAGATTCTTAGTAATATCGGTAGAGAAGCAATCAGATCTACAAAGCAGGCGCAAAGATAATCTGAACCAAGCTCTTCTAATTAATACTACTGTAGGGACTTAATGCTAGTTTTATCACTTTTTATTCCTTGGGTTAGATTGAGCTCAACGTTGGCGGTTCCGATGGGCTTCTATTAGAAGAAAAATGGTAATAGCTTCTTTTTCTCTTGTTCCCCGCACGTCAATTCATATACTGTAAGGCCTGTAACAGAAAAGCCAGCCCTTCTATTGTTTCAAGGTATCTGCGGAGGCCCTTCATCACACCAGAACTTTAATTAGAGAGCGCCCTTCTTTTTTCTGGCTATTTTTTTCCAAAATTTTTCATCGGAAAATTCGACAAATTTTTGCTCACAATTCATGAAATTCTATCAGTTTCACACAAACTTAAGCAATCGAAAATAGCTTTTTAACAAATTTATATTAAATTGTCGAACGCCTGCATAATTTTCCACTGAAAACGTACGGAAATTTTTAATTCGAAAACATTTTGAAAGGGGTCTTTTTTTACAGGGGGATCTTCTAGTAGAGGGCTCTTCTAATACAAGTTTTCAAAGCAATAAGAAAGTGATGACGCATCGTAATGTCCAGAAATGTGACTAGGTTCAAACATAAAATGAATAATTGAAAAAAGGCATTAAAACGTTCAAACTTGTTTTCGAAAATATTGTTTTTTTTCAGTCAAAGACGATGGAAATCAAAGAAAGTTTGAGTACGTTCACTACAAACCAAAAGCTCGAGACAAGCCTCAACAGCGTCTTGATCTCAAAGACAGGTGAGTAAACTTTAAAAAAACACGATAATATGCTATGAACAAAAACAGGCAGTTCAGAAGGACTCTCACATACGAGCACTACCTGCGCCTAAAGGAGACAGTGGAAAATTATGGATATGAATTCAACAGAAACTACTTCGTGCCGGATCCTGACCCAGATATCCTGGACGGAGATGTGCCACATGTGGGACGGCAGCTCAGGAACATGAGAAGCGCTGCAGAATACGATGCAGATATGCTTCCAGGTAACAGCGCCACCTAAAAGATAACATATTTGTAATTTCTGTTTCAGACACATTGAGTGATTGCAAGATTTCAATCTCCGATCGTTACAATGAATATCTTCAGGTAAGTTGTATGGTGTATAGCAAGAACGGCAAATTTATGATATGAACCTATCATTATTTGGAGTACTTCAGACGAAGAAATAATATTCTAGAAAAAAATCCATGCTGGTGGAGAAAATACTGGGAGACAGGCGAAATTCAAGAAAAAACAAAGGCAAATGAACATATTTATAGCTTATTGTAGTTTTTGATTCAAAAAGAGAAACTTCAAAACATTTAAATAGTCTTCAAAATTCGGGGAATATCTTTTTTTATTTCAATCTCAACTTTATTCATGTTTTAACAAATCATGGAACCATTTTTCCAGGAATATCACGAATCTGGCAACGAATACTTCTTGTATCGCGCAGACTTTTGGAGAAAATTGAAGCCAGAAGACTTGACCTTGGACCATCAACTTCTACTTGCTGCTGACTACCAAAACTGGATCAATGGATACTTTTTGGAAAAAATGCTCCGCGAGGAGTACACCGAGGCGATCGGCAGTCTTTAAGCATTCATTACATTTTTCTTAATTGATGGTTTCCATTTTGTATCCCTCAATTTCCAAATCTCTCTCATTCGAATAACCCCAAAACTGATTGAAATAAGAAAACGTGAATTATGTGAATTGTGGCAGTTAATAATTCTTTCTCACCTGAATGTTACATATAACATTTCAATACCTTTTCCACGGTTGTAATTTTTGTATTGTCTTTATTCCGTATTTTCTTTATTTGCTCGATTCTCAATTACTCGTATTTTCAGCAATGCCGATAAATCTATCCAAAGACGGCATTGAGGCAGTGGTGGCGAAAATCCATGAAAAATACCCAACAGCATCATTCGACAAGGAAATTCTTCAGATTCATAAAGATTTTTTCGATGAAAATGAGGATAAACTGAACATCAATAACATCGCAATTCGAGGAGTCACGGATCATTATGACAACGATGACGACGAGAACCCAAACATCGCATTCTTCACCTATCACTGGGTGTGCTGTAAGTTTCTGAATCTCTAATTATTCAAAAAAAAAATTCTGAAATCAGTTTTTCAGGGAATGGAGCCAACTCAAATCTCGAGGCGTATTTCATTCATTATCATGCAACCCCACCTGTTCATGGAAGAAAGCCCGTTCTGAATCAATTTGTCGAACGGTAGGTTTCCTTCAGCATCTAATATAGAAAAAACATCGTTCTGTTTCAGATTCCAACTGAAGAAAGGCGATTGGCAAATCTGTCAGAACGAAGTCGACACACTGAAGATTCACGAGACTTACTTCGTTCCTACCCCGGATCCATCCGCGACTCACAACGACGAGCTCTTCTTTTCTATGCTCGTGAACTCTGCAGCTCTGCAGTGCGCGTCTAATCCAGGATACGCAGAACGTAAGTTGTTGACATTCAAACTCAAAAATCGTTTTGATTTTCAGTTATCACCGCCCAAGCTAATCAGTACATCAAATCGCAATTCGAGGACCTTCTTGAGGTGATTATTAAATCAAAAGTTGCAAAAATTAAATAAATTAATGTTTTAGGAGTACCATCAGACTTACAACGAATATCATTTGGCCCGTGCCGATTTCTACCGCAAGCTCAAAATCAGTGATATGCTCATGGAGCATCGCGTTCTTGCCGCAGCGGCCTACGAGGGTGAAATCGAGCCAAGTCTTCTGGAGAAAAAATTCCGCGAGTACTACACTGACAAAATTGGCAGTCTTTAACTTCTGTTCCTATTGAAACTCATATCGAGGCTCAGGGATTTTGAAAGTTTTATGAATTTTCACTTTCTTGTTGATCTGTATTTTTGTGAAAAATTTGTTTTGGGAGGTTTTTGAAAATGGGTTCTGAAAATACATAGACTTCCTAAAAATCATTTTTTAGAAGTCTATAATTATCTTCAAACTAGTTTCTAAACATCTCAAAGTAGTTTTTACTATGCACAACAATTTTATCTAACGTCGTTGTGAATTCAAAACTTTTCAAAATTTGTCTACCTCTTGTTTAATGATAATTTATCCTCAATATATCCTTCCTCACCACTCTAACTTATTTTGTAAAACCGCGTATCTTCCTCAGCCTCTGGGTGAATTTCTGGTGGTTCATTTATCCTTCTGATCTTTTTTCTTACTGTGTGCAATTATCTGCCGAATAATGAAACATATTCTTTCTATTTTATGGGACTTTGATGTGAAACAATTTATCTGTGGTCCATTTTATAATATCATTAGCTATGATCAGAAACTTTTGAGTGGTTTTTTGGATTTGATTTCCCGTTTTTACTTTTATCCATTCAAAAACCTGAGGTTTGTGCAAGAGGGTGGGAATGAAAGTTTGGTTTTCAGGTAGCAGGTGATTCCATTTTTGCTACTGATTGTTGAATTTTGCATACGCATTTTTGGAGGGTGTCGTTTATTCGGTTTCACCTGAACTACATTCTGTGCTTACACCGGAAATGCACCTCTCATATCGGCCCCCTCATTACTGCATGATTTTGGCCAAAAGGTACCAACAAGAACGCTAATCCCATGCCAATTAAAACGACTTCCGAGCCAAGGGAGGAGCGGAATTCGATCTTCCTTTCCTGGATAGACTTTTGAGTTAGTCGAGCGTGAGAAGCAAGTTCAAAAGTTGGGAATAGGCAACAAAGAGATACACACACTCTATTTTCAGCTGCTGCTGCTCCTCTTGAAGCACAAGACATCAAACGCTTTCAATGTTTCATTCTGTGTTTCATTTTTTCTCGACAGAGCGATCATCAACATGAAGTTTCTTGTAAAACCTCTTCTTTTGGCTAACTTCTGAGTACCTCCCACACTTTCCCATGTTGTTTCGGAGACACATGCTGTTGCTGCTTCTGTTGTTGATGATCTTTGATATGCTTCCGGTGAGCTCCGTGGTTCAAGTTGTTACTCTAATGCGTTGTTCTATTCTGAGTTTTCCGTCTGGCACGTGCTCGATAAAACTTCAGAATATTTCCGATCTCAGATTATAGAATTCCAGCTAGGTGTGACCAAGTCTGATGAACACTTAATTTCCAGTTAGATAAAATCTTACAGAGTATGACGGTTTCTCTCTCTCCCGTTTTTTCATCAAACGCACAATTCAATTATTCTTCTTATTAAAATAATCCTCTCATGCACATATAGGGATGTGCAGAAATATAAATGGATGGAATTCTTTTTTCGGTTCTTTCTCGTTCCTTTCGTATATTCCAAACATTAACTTTTACCCTCTTCCTACTTTTCTTTCTTCTTTTCCTCTTCCAATGTTTATTCCGCCCTGCGCCAGGTTTGGAAGCGAGAGTCTCGGCAGTGGTACTTGCTTCTTGCTCCGACTCCACCCCTCACCTCATTCAGTTGTGATTTCGCAGCGCCACGCAACACTCCGTCTACTCTCGCTTCGAACCTTTAACGGTGTCCATCAATTCGCCGACCGCCCTCCCATCTCGGGTTCATGTCTTGAGAGAAAAAAAATGAATAGTGTACACACACCGTTTCTGTCCTCTTCTAATGGTGATGTGTTCTTTCCCATCTTCTTTCCCACTTTTCATTCTTTTCTTCTTTTTTTTCTCAACAAAAGTTACGGTTCAGATACTCCTTTCTCTCTTTTTCTCTCTCATTCTTTTTCTTCAATTAATTATTTTCCTTCCTAACTGTTTCTTAACCCCAGTTACCCATCATGCAACATCTTTTCGCCAAGTACGAGAAAAGGCTCAAGTTGAACCATATCACTCGGAAGACGTGGGAAGAGGAGCAAACCTTCTCGCGCGTCGGAAAAGCTGTGTTCAAAGTTCCAAGACCACCCAAGCATAAGAAGACATTCCGCTGGGAAATCCGTGAGTTCTTTTTTTGGGTTGTGGCTCCATTTAACTTTGCTTCCGCCGCACGAAAACTTCTTTTCTAGAGTCGCCGAGCAAAGAAGGCAAAGCTCCACGCCCATATACGGTGAAATGGACTCCACACGTCGAGAAGCCACCAAAGATTCCGGAGCAGATGTGGAATATGAAGCGTTGTTTGTGAGTTTGCAAGTGATGATGTGGGGTTTTGGGAAAAATTGGGATTGAACATTTTTGTTGATTCACACCGCAATTACCTCTAAATATTTTACTAGCAAAGGAAATTATAGTGTGTGAAGTTTATCAGCTGATTTGATCTCTGTACCTGATCAGACTACATTTTTTTGTAGTCAACTTTTTTGAATTGACAAAAAGGCCGTCCGCTATAGTCTCGTCGACCTGTAGATAAAAATTTTGTAGAATATTCTCTGTTTCTGTTTTCCACTCTAATAAGCTCAATCTTACAGCCACTTTCTTTATACACTTTTTTTTACTCGCTCAACTTCAGAGATTAGCTTTAGTTTTCTGCTCCATGTCACTCTAGGAATATGTGTTTTGTTCACGATTTCGCTAAAAATAGAAATAATGCTAGAGAGAAACTGATGAAGTGTGGTTCTCCAAATATTAATTAGCTTTTTCTCTTCTCTTTTTCCCTTTTTTGCACGCCTAATATTAAAAGTATCGAGATGTGAAAAATAGAAGTACTTTAGGAAAAAATGAGGTTTTTGATTTTCAAATATTGAGAGCTGGAAGGGAAAAACTACAAAATTCTCATTTCCTGGTGTCTACAGTCTGAGAAAAATATCGGTTGCCAAAAAAAATCAAAAACAGCGGGTTCTAGTAAATCAAACATCAAATTCCAATCTCTATTTTTCTCCTTTTTTATTTTTTTTTTCTCAGGAAATTCTAAGAAAAATTGATGACGTCCTTTGTTGCTATTGTTCGTTGTTATTTACGTGTCAAAAATCTTGCTCTCGTGAAGACTCAGAATTAGCCAGTTCACGGTGGTTTTCGTAATCTCTCCTAATCCAATCTTATTACATAGTATGTGCTTGTTCGGATAAATAGAATGATATCAATAACTTCAACTTCTTCAACTACACATCACTTGTTTTCTGTCAAGTTGCAATCTCGTGTTTTCCTGTGCAAGAGAACGGGGGAAAGAAAAGAAGAAGAAGAAGAGTCCTTCTTCCGCCGCAAATTTACTCTCGTCTCTCTCGTGGTTGGTTCCACTCTCAAACACTGTCAGCCGCTTTCGATATAAGAGCGGGAGACCCGAGAGAAAGACATGACTGCTTGGCGCAATGGTAGCGCGTTCGACTCCAGATCGAAAGGTTGGGCGTTCGATCCGCTCAGTGGTCAAAAGTTTTTTGCTTTTTTGAATATTGCAAATTGGGGTTCCTGAAGCACATGCGACTCATCAAAGACGTTTTCAACTAACAATTCCCGCGAATAACATAGGAAAGAGGTGCTATGAGGTGCTAGAGGAATCAGTGTTGCAAAGAAATTCGCCAATTTCAATTTTTTTTGATAAGCCATAAAATTTCAAGGAAAAATTTCTGTGATTTTAAAGTTGCACATCGGAAAATTTGGAGTGTCTTGCAGCAGAGCTCAGTGTTTGAAAATTGACGTTTCTCCAGATTCTTGTAAGGTTTTTGATTCTTCAAAAAACTGCAGTAACCGTCAAAAATGCGATTATTCATTTCGCAGAATCTATTAAGTTTCATGTAGATTTTTCGGCTCTTTTTTAGTTTAGAGGTCCAAAAAAAGATTAGAGGTCCCAAAATAAAATAGAGGTCCGAAAAAAATCAGAGGTCCCAAAAAAGTTTAGAGGTCCCAAGAAAAAGTAGAGGTCCGATATTTGAAAAACGCACAGATATTGGAACAGTGTAACAGAATTTGAACTGTGTAAGAAATTAAAATTCTGTGGTATTATTTAAAAAATAAGTGTTGGTGATATATTTTATACTTCTAATAGGCTTAGAGATGCATATTTTCTGCAAATTATCTAAGCCTGAAAGAAAGCTTATTCACGGAGGCATTACTGTTTGCCGACATTTTGCTTATATGTAAATTGGGGTCCATGAAAAAGACAAAAAAGAAATGGAGCCAAAACTATCAGGAGAAGTCACATTTCCGCTCTCATCATCCCAGAGAGCCTCAAAACTCAAAACTCCTACTTCTGGCACATTATTCTAATACCTACGCGTTTTTCAAATATCGGACCTATATTTTTTCTTGAGACCTCTAAACTTTTTTGGAACCTCTAAATTTTTTTGTGACCTCTAAACTAGAAAAGAGCGGATTTTTCTAGTCAGAATTCAGATTTTCTCTTTTGTTTCTTTGATGTTGCAAATGGGACCGCCACTACCAACACTTTGAATCATACTTGAGTCATTACTAAATTGAACTTTTCAGTAGGCGATGTGTGACATTCATCAATTATCACTTTCTAGAGCAAGATACAGAATGTGCTCATCTCTGATGTTGTTCTGTGATTATAAGATCCACCAACTTCCAACAAGTCAGAGAAAAATGTTGCACCTCATTTATATTTTTATTCGTTAATCTAGTTAGATGTCCAACATCATAGCTCAACATAAGAGCGAAAATGTCTCGAATAAGGAAAACTACATTAGACAAAATACGAAATAGTTTCGAAACTAGATAATTTTACTTAGTATATTGTAATAGAAAATCACACCATTTTTTCACACAAAACTTTTTTCCTAAAATCCTCTGTTTTAGTTTGAAGTAATGGATGGTTAGGAAGGGTACAAGAAAATGATTGAGAAGAGAAAGTTCGAGAGAGATAATAGAAAATAAAAATCTTTTAAATGGGTGAATAATCGCATGAAAGTGCTGCTGGACAGTATAAACGTTAATGAGGTTGGGATTCAGAAATGGAAGAAGAGGAAAATGAGGTGAAGTATTGTGAAGCGAATGACTTGCATGGTTGGAGGTTAAACTATTTGGGGAAGCAGAAGACCTATATTTTCATTGGCTAGCTTGTATCATAGACTTTGAAAAGTTCGTGGAATCGGGTAATTGATTAATGATTCCCAAAACCATGAAACCTCATAATACGTTTTTATAGTAGTTGAAAATACTTTCAAAACAACTCGATTTAAAAAAAATCAGATCCGTAATTTTGATATGTTTGCAAACGTGAACATGGAAATATATCAGCAAAACTGATTTTTCACAGTCTTTTGCGTTATGCTAAAGTTAATAAAACTGGTAGTTTTTCCAGCCAACCCCGTCGTGATGCACGTATTTCTTTGGCCGATGCTACTTTTCAGCCGGAGAAAAAGTTGAATGTCCCAGAGCAAATTTACACTGCTGTCAATCCTCCTGAAATCGCTGAGAAGGACCTTCGCCTTATGGAAGATTTGCAATCTTTCTTCGAGAGCTGGGATGATGATAATTATACCGAAGATGGTGAGAACCTCAAGAGTTGCAGAATTGACTTGTTCTTCATTTCAGAACAGGAGGAACTAATGCAAATGGCTGTCATCGGGCGTGTCGAAGTCTATCAAGAGGTAACGATTCCAACGAATACTTTCCTAAGTTTAAAGCTTCCAGGTTTACAAGCAAACATCGAACCCGCTTTACTTGGCCCGAGCTGTTTTTTTGAAGTTTCTGGACTTGGACCGTCTCACGGATCTCCACAAGATGTACCTGATTCTCACTGAGGAGACCGAGTTTCCGATGTGGTATGTCGAAGGAGTTCTCCGCAAACACTATGAATAACTTCAACGATCGCCAACTTTTTCTGAATTATTTATATTTATTACTCACAAAATTTTCTGAAAATTCATTTTTCCGCCACGTTTGCTTGTAGTGATTGTGTCTCATTTTATTTTGCCAGAGATATTTTTTGAAGTGATGTTATATTTTTTGCCATGATTGCTTTCCTCACATTTTGAATGATTTCTACCTATTTTGACAAAATGAACATATATTTTTGACCTTTTTATTGGTGGGTCGTTTATCCGCCTTACAAATATACAGATGTTAAATCGGATCTGCTGGCCACTAAAATTTAATAGCGTTCTGTTCATACCTTAAATGTGGACTGTCAAAGTCAGCGTTGTGCGCTTTAAAATTATGGTTTATATTTTTAAATTTAAAAAAAACCGACCAGAACGTGGTCCGGGCCGGGCATTTTCGGTATATGGTGGTAAAAATTTTTTTGTCAGGAGTTTTGGTCCAAAAAGAACCAAAAAATGGCTAAATTTTCAAAAAATTGTAAGTTTGTCAGTTTATGTCCGTTTGTCGAAATTCAAGACTTCACAAAAACATCATCACAAAAACAAAAACAAGTATGCCCCTCGCCATACCGGCCGCCGAGGACAACGAATTCAAAGCAGCCAAGTGCCAAAAATCGATATTTTTCGACATAACTTGTGTGAGCATGATTTCCCTCGGGGTATTGACATGTTTTTATATTAAATCAAGTGTGCTGAATCCAATGGTCATAATGAAAAAAAGTTAACCTAGGATTTTTGAGATATTGAAAAATTTTTTGGTTTTTTCAAAAAAATTTTTAAAATCGCAAAACTGGAGTAGTAAAAGTTGAGCTGACATTTTTTCTCTTTCGAAATGGTTTATTTTCACTAATTTTGCTACGTGAAGCCGATTCCTATTGTCTTCCAATCATATATAGTGCCGTGTTGTTTTATGAAACCTTCCTATTTCCGTTCATTCAATTAAAACTCAATTTACACGATAATTACCCCTTTTTCGGTTTTTATTTTTCATTTCCAGTGCGAAATATCAGTGAAAAATCAAAGTGAAAGAATAAACTGAGCTGGCCGCGGACTGACATTCAAAAAATATTGGGGAACGGCACTGATTTCATTGTTCTCTTCGAATTTTCATGTATAAACTTAAGTTTTTCTTCGGTTTTCCGATTTTACCAAAAATTCAGATCGGATTAAAGTTTTGTATCCCTAGTTAATACATCCCTTCTGCATACTTTCCAGTCAAAACGTTGTTGTGCAGAAACAAACGCTCCCTTAGGAATTTTATCTGTCGAAACATCTTTCAGTTTTTGACACGAGACTGCACTTCAAACATCCATTTGCTGCAGAATTTCAATTTATTTTTTGGGGGAGCAACTCTTTATTTTTATCATCGAGATAAATATTGAGGGTTAAAGTCAAAGTACGGGCTCAGAAACAGTGTTCTATTACCACGTGTGAGGCACTACTCGTTTGAAAAATGGAAGAGAATATCGTATGTGGGGGGGGGGGTCTGAACTGAGATAAGTAAAGAGGAAAAGGGATGAAAAAATTTGGGGAAGAGTGATTGAAAGTGAACAAAGAATCATCAGATTCTGAGCATAAAGAAATCAGGGGCAGGTTATGATTGCATTTGATGAGTATATTAGACGCTGGCGTATCCTTGTCTCTTGGCGCGAGCACGGCCGATGAGATATCCGACGAGCACAACAATGACGAGAACGGCAAGGCAGGCTCCGACAACAATTGGAACAACATCGCTGGTACGGGCATCAAGATAGCAGACATCGTAGAGCTGGTTGGCTGGGAAGACGGTTCCGTTGACTTGAGCGAAGGCAATGATGTTGGCGGTCTTGATGTCAATGGTGGATCCTCCAACGAGTCCGAGCTTGGCAGTGGAGCACTGAAAATTTGAAGTTGGAGAGGCTAGACTAGGCATTCTGAAATAACAAACCTTGTAAGCATTGGTCTCAGTGGCGGTGACATCTCCAGCGTCCTTCTCGTCTCTCACGAAAGTTCCAAAATATGGAACAAGCTCAGTCTTTTGGGTCTTGAGAGTGTAGTCGATAATCTTAAAAGCTTCATTGCTGGATGTTCCGAAGACGATATTGAGCTCCCACTCCTTTGGATAACGAGCTGACTGTCCCGCTGGGTTGAAGGTAATCTGAAAAATATGAGAGTTGGAGACCACTCATCTAAAGCGAACCGCAAACTCACGCTCAAAGTTTGGACAGATTGATTGTTGACGACTGCGTTACAATCTCCATCGACGTTGAGGGTATTGTTGAGGAGCACGTTGTACTTCTGGGTAGCGTTTCCCTCTTGGAAGACAAGATTGAACATGAAGTCTCCATCAACGATGATGCAAGCGAGTCCAGTGTTATTGTTGGTCACATAGAAGTGCTCAGCAGAAGCGACGGCCAACAAGGCTGAAAAATCAATCGTTGACAGGTAAGACGTGATTCCAAACTTACCGAACACGGCGACAAGTGATTTCGACATAGTTCAATTGAGCAGAATGAGTCGTTCGATCTGTAAAAGAGAGCGTTTCAATGTGAGGCGAGCGCAACATCAACAAGAAAAAAAAGTGAACGAGACATGTGAAAAAGAGTACGATCAATAGATATTGTGCTTGTGTAGCCTTGGACACAAGCAAACACACTAAATAGCCCCGTGAGTTGAAAAGAGAGAACTATGAGGAATTGGAAAAAATATGTTTATGTTTTGGGACAATGATGATAGTCAATTAGGACGAGAGTGAATCATAACACACTGAATGAGGTCTCTGCTGAGGACGGCTCTACTGGGGACGATGGGCGGGGTAAAGGGCCCACCTTGAATGGTGCTAATACAGTGCATATTGATTTCCTGTCAATCATTATCTACTGACCTAATGGGACCGTCCGTTGTGTGGTGGAAAGAAGACCTAATTGTGTAGGGTAAATGAGCGGCGGAGACTTGCCTCGACATGGTGATTATCGAAAATTTTAGATAACGAAATTGGAAAGAAGGAGAGCAGCGCTATCAGTGCTGACCTGATAACACACTTTGTCTTCTATACATCGATCGGTTTTTGATGTATTTTTCATCGCAACATTTGATGATAGAGCATTCTGATTTAGCAGGAGAGTGCAAAATCATGATACATTAGGCGCGTAACTTGTAAGTCATAGAAAACAAATTTTCAATGGAAAAAAATTGTTTTGCTACTGCTGCCTCCATCAACCATCAGATGCGAAAACAACAATCCCCCCCCGTGTGACCTACAGAATAAACTCACGACTACCAGCGACTAGCGGAATGAGCAGAACGCAGGAAATGTACGGAAAAGGCGGGGAAAGAAGACGTTGGTCATCCACTGGACAGTGGTGTCCTCCTAAAGAGTGGGGAAGGATTGATGACGTGATTGAGCAGAGACGACGAGAAGACAAGCGAACAAGGGTCGAGAGAAAGGAAATGAGTGTCACCCCGCAGGAGGAGAAGAAAAAAAACAAGAGGATGGATGAGTGAGAGTGTGTAGAAATGAGTGTGTGCTGTGTGCGCGCGCGCTCATACACACAAACACACACAACTCGGACAGAGAATGCCAAGCGGGCTGTCGTGGATTGTTGCGCATTGGGTGGTGTACACACCGCGCGGGGTTTAAGTGTTTTTTTGCGGACTACGGCACTGGGTTAAGTTTCCGAATGCTCGGGGGCTAATCTTTTCTAGATGAAAGATGAAAAAAACAATAAAAATGTTAACAGAACAGGAAAACCCAAAAATTCCTTTTAACCCCATGCAGAGAGAAATAAAAATTAAAGAAAGTGCGAAGACGAGTGAGTTTTTTCCTCAATTGCAGGAAAAATCATGATCCTGGACAAATCCCACGACTTATATTGAACAGGGGAAGTACTACTTCTGGAGACCGAAGACAAATGATTGACAAGAATCGTAATACCAACTCATATTACCCATAATTCGTATAGCGAGTGGGAAAAAAACAACAAACGCCGCCCAAATGGAATTTGGTGGCAAATTATAACTCTTCTAAACAACAGAAGCTAGGCTTGCCGAGTATCATTTCACCCTTCCTAATGAAAAAGTCCAACAAGTCGTAAATTGAAACGAAACCCCTCTTCCTAGAATGCAAATATTGAATTTCAAGACTCCTATGTTTATTTTGCAATTTTTAAAGTTTGAAGCAAACAGATACATTCTTCAAAAATTGAAAAACCATACAATTGATAGATAGCGAATATTGACGGTTGGGATGATAAATGAGAAAGTGAAAAAATGAAATGGAATACAATCTATTATTAGCAATGAGATGCACAGTTATGATACGAAACTGAGGATACGGCACACCCGAGACAATACATGATAATGTGGAGAAAAATAGGTCAGATTTGAGATTGCTTATACTCGCGGCGAAGTCTTTCTAGCCTCAAATCTTGATATAGCTGTGCCGGTGGATCTTGGACACCAAGAATATATCGATCGCGGAACATATCGTCGATTGGATTCTCTTCACCAATGTCATAATCGAGCTCGGCGAGAGACTGAAATATCAAATTCTTGTTTTCAATATAAAATGTTATTGTTACCGGCGGATATCGTACGGCGACAGGCTCCAAATCACGTGGTCCTCTCCATTCGTGCTCATCCAATCTGAAAAATAAACATGACATCATGCAAATGTGTTGAAATACTGTTTATGTGCATCCTCTCAGTATCGAGCGTGTTTTTATACCACAGGACTTTGCTATTGTGTTCAGAATCAACTCACAATCTCAATGAAGGCTCGTAGTAGGTTTCCGTGCTTGGTTGACTAGAAGTAGTGGCGTCGCCTGCAAAATATAATATGAAAACATGCGCCAAAACAACAACAACAACAAGAGCTGTACGAACCATATGTGAACCTTCCGTAATCTTGATAAGTCTTTGATGGTGTTGACGTGCTTTGACTCTTTCGACGTTTCGCTTTCTTGTTTTTATTGTTGAAACATCTCCAAGCAAACCAACCACAAGCGAAAATGAAAAATAAACCAAAAACTGCAACAATGATGAAAATGGAGAGATCGGCGTTTTCGGCGAGGCCAAGTCTCAACGAATTGCTCGGTTCGCTCGGTGGATATGATGGTCTAGAGCTTCTCACTCGAAAAACAGTCTGCTTTGTTTCATCAACATCTTTTCCAAGTCTATAGTATGTTTCAATAACCTCAGCCTGCAATGAAATCAAGAGCAACAGGAAACATTATTATTTTTCTTACCAATGGCTGAAAGTTTTTGCTAGGTTCCGTCCGACTTTCGATTCTATAAGAAGATGCTCCTTCCGCCGCTGTCCAGCATAACTCGTTATAACCACAAATGTACAGTTTATCAGGAGCATGAAGACTAGTGCAACCTGCAATCAAAAATTTTCTACGAAAGAAAAAAAAACGAAAAAAATTACTTCTCCTGTTGTAGGTCGTTGAATTGGTGGACCCTTTAGCATTAACGCTCTCTATACTGACACGATACGACACAAATGGTTCTAAATGATCCAAAATTGTCTCATTGCGAGAGGTTTTGATGGATGTCCACTGTAAATTCATGTCGTTCTGAGCGTGAACTGCAAACGTCTGATCAAATCCTCCGTTGTATCCTGAAACAGCCACCGAATAAATATAACGTGTTTTTTTAATGAAAGCCCACTCAAACCGTCAACTAACTTTAAGCTCAATTACCGGAATTCCTGTGAATGATATCAAAACTTTGTCAACTGATAATACATTTATCACAACATCACCAATATCTTATCAGTTAACAGGTGTTTTGATATCTTTCACCGGAATTGAAATAATTGAGCTCAAATTTACGGGTTGATTGAGTTTCTATTAGATAAATTATGGTACATTATTTCAAAAAAAAAGACCTACCTGGTATCCATGAAATCCTCATCGAGCTACTGTTTAGACAAGTGAATTTGAGACCTGTTGCCATTTGAGGCTTGGTAACCTGAAAGTCGTTAGAAACGTCAAGCTGCTGATTCTGAACCTGTCTGTACCTCTACTAAAACCATGACTCTAGTGGAAATGGTCTCCACTGAATTCGCAATCACACATTCGTACAATCCATGATCCAAATGTTCAACCTTCTTGAATTTTAGTGTGGACTGGTTGATTCTTTTCTGAAACATCAATTTTTACATCATTACAGGTTTTTGAAGTTACCTTGTCCCTAACCCAATAAACTATAGGCATGGGATCTCCAAATCCTTGACAAGGAATAGTTACATCATCGCCAAGCCTAACTTTGATTTTAGACGGAGGCAAGACAGTGAACACTGGTGGCTCTTAAAATTGATCCAATAAAAATTTACAAGCCAAAATTGAGTTTTCATACCTGCCACGATAACATGAGTTTCCACAATTGACCCTTTTCCGGCAATGTTATCCGCCTGGCATCCGTAGATTCCGCCGTCTCCCGGTTTTGCATGCACGATGAAAATTTCACTCTGAAAAAGGCGAATAGGCAATATTCAAATACTTTTGCCTGAGGTACCGAAATTTGTGATGGTAGAAAATGTCCATTTTTGGTCCAGGTGTAACTGGTAGGTTTAGGATTAGCTGTGATATCACACGAAACCGTTGCGTTCCTTCCAGAGGCTACTGTCTTCACTGGCTGGTGTGTTTCCGATGGTTCAGGTGGATCTGCAAAAGATAATTAAATTCTTAACTTTTTTGTTTTTTCAATTTCGTAATTTTCAAATTTTCTCAATGTTTGGGTATTTGATTGATGTGCTTTAGAAATTTAGCCTGATCTTCATAGACCATTTCTCCGACCAACCATTATTGTAAAAAGACACACAATCGGCCTTGGCCAATGTTCTTTTGTCTGTACAACTCACAAAAAACTTGTAGATAAGCCGTTGAACTTGTCGTTTCACCAGTTGGATTCTTTGCTTCACAAGTGTACCAACCGCTATCCGATTTTCTGACGTCTAGAAGAGAAAGGTCGCCAGACTGGAAGTGAATCCGATTAGAAAAGATCAGATCTTTGCATTATTTACCCGAATATTTGAACGTAAGCCTAGAGGAGTTGTTTTAATAGGTTTTTTCTCGAAAAACCAAGAATACGATATTGAAGTGGCTTGGGAGTTTGCATGGCAATGCCAGAACACATTCGATCCTTCAATCACCGTCTTGTTTAACGGCACCAAGTCTAAACTTGTTGCTTCTGAAAAATACTCAATAGTTTTGGTTCAGTTACTCATTATTATCTCACTGGAAAACCTCAAGTCTATTGATGAAGTGTGATTCCCTTCAATATTCACTGCCAGGCAAGTGTAATAGCCACCATCACTTCCAGATAGATTGCTCAGTGTTAGTACTGGAGATGTGCTGATGATTTGATCGTTCTGAACGTTATCAGCATAGTGTGAATGAAAATGATTAGCGAATTACCCTGGACCAAGTGATTTCTGGCGATGGTGCACCGTCTGCTTTGCACTCAAGTGCTAAATCTGATCCAATTGTTCTGTGAATGACTTGATGGTTAGTTGGAACACTTATTTCAGGGGGTACTGGAATAGAAAATTGTTGAAATGATTTTCTGAGTGACATTGTTTACCGTTAACGACTAGTTTTGCTGACAGTCCTTTTTCTGGTTTTGTAGGTTGCTTTGAAAATTTTGTGACTACACATTGATAAACTCCAGCGTCAGCGTCCGTGACCGAGTGGATAGTAATTCCGAGAAATCCATCGCGAGCTAGTCGACCTAAAAAAAATAAAATTTCCCACAAGAGCAAACGGCCGTATCCTTTGAGCCTATTCTGATTGTTATTTTCGGTGAAAATCGTCAATCTCTGAGTTTTATCAAAAAACCAAGAAAAACTGATGAATAGTTCATATAGAAACTTTCGCAGTTTCAGTTTATACAAAATTTCTTGAACTTGGTTTTTGTCTTCTCTAAATCAAGTAGTTAGATCGCTATTCTACCAATTCGAAAACATAAAATGAAAAAAAAACAGCCTGACGGATCTCATTTGACAGATAAGACAAGAAAGTAACCAAATCAAAGAAAAAACAAACCAGCATAGTTAACCTGATACTGATATTTTCTTCATGTCTATTATACTTGTACCTTTTGATATCGTGTTAAACCTCGATAATGTATTTGTTTGTGTGTTTGTATATCTCTTGAGATAAATTTTTCAAAAAAGATGTTCGATAAATGAGTGTGTCATTATTTCATTCAAGTCGCCTATCTTTTTTTTTTGAAAAAATCGTAGTGAAAAGGGGGAGGAGGATAGATGAGTGAATTCTTTTGTCGATCGCGACCTTGGGCGGTTCTTCATTTAATTCAAATCTTCCCTTTTCGAATTCTCAATCTGCACTTACTCCTATGATTAATCATTTCATATTCTGTACACTTTTCATATTTCTATTTCAACTGGTATGTTGTATGAGACAACAATTTGCAAAGATCTTGGAGTTCCGGAAGATTGTTACAAGCATCTTTGCAATCCAACTGTTTTACCGGACATATTGAATCGTCATATTGTCTTTGAAAAACGATTGAATTGTGGGAGATATATTGTACCGATAACCAAATGCTTAACACAAGGAAGAGATGTAGGCACATGCTGCTTAGAGGAGGATCACCAAGAGATGTACAAGGATTGTTACGGAATGTGCAATGGTACTGTAGACAACTATGGAGACTATTTGAGAGAAGATTTTCTGATGTGTTTTGTTTCAAACGTTCCCACTATATTTCCTTGTCTCTTGGAAGGCTATAAATACTCACCTACTCCTCCTCGTAACTTAGAGCTAGTTTCCAAAACCAATCACTCTGCTAAATTTATATGGGATGAGCCAGCTGAGTTTGCTGATTCATTGGACCACTACAGAATTCACCTAACCCAACGAACCGGGCAATATGGAACAGGGAAATACTTTATCACAAAAGAAAGGAACTTCACGTTGGAAGGATTGATCTCTAACTTTGCGTATACGGTTCACGTGGTTGCTCATGCCGGAGAATACAAGAATAACTCTGATTGGTACAAATCGGGCGTCTCGAATTTGGTATTATTCAATATAGGACCACAACTGGCAGTTTCAAAAAATGAGCTTCTGATGCCCAACAGCACAAAAACAGTGATTTTATTTTGCCAGTTAAAACTAATCTCCTATGCTGAAAGATCTCTCGAATGGGTCAAAACGATAGGAGACGAAACGATAGTCTTAGAGTCTACTGAAAAGTATTCCATAAAAATTTACCAACCGGAACATCGCCTTTTAAAAGACACCATTTTATCTGCCTTAAAAATCAATGACTTCGATGAAAACGATTTTGGATCTTATCGCTGCTATATCAAAAATACCAGAATCGAATACTACGAAACAAATGTGACTTTGTGGGATCATAGTGAGCAAACACCGGCTACAAATCCTCCTGAGACACTACTGGAATGTTGCTCAAAAAATGTTGAAAAGGAACATTGCCGAACGATTTGTACGAAAGGGGTCGCAAATAAGAAAGCTATGATAAGGCCAGGTGAGGAATCTTTTGACATTGAAAAAGCCTAAAAATTTATATCAGAACATATCATTCCACCATTTCATAGCTGCAAGGAAGAATTGAATCAACTTCTCAAATGCACTCATGATGGTCTTAATGCTGTGCCCTGTTGTGTTCATCATGAGGTATTAACGTGGCAAGTTTTGTTACTCAGCTTTAAAAATTTCAGTTACCGTATTCTTGCCTAGGACTATGCAATGAGCAGTTTCCTATGGAAAAGAGAGATGTAAGATGGTTTTGTAAAGATCATTATAAGACGGTAAGTCTATTGTTTTAGAAAATGCGAAAAAAGATGTTTTCAGATCTATAAATGCAAATTAGAGGCGATGGACAATACACCGGAAGGTTTAGGAGATGTAAGGCCATTGCACATTTGGGGATGGACATTTCGATTTTCCTGGGATAAGGTTGAAGGCGCAAAAGTGGGATTTCACTTTTCTACTGATTCTCTATCTTCTTTCTTCAGGTATATCACGTCTACACTAGGAGAAAGGAAGGAAAATGGAAAGTTCGCGTTACCCTGGACAACACTGTAGACGTAACACGTCAAGATGAGGTGAAACTGATCAGATTATGAAAAATCCTAATTTTATCCAGGCTGTCATAATAGCTGTGAATGAATTTGGTCAATCTCTTCCATATCGCCTCTACTATGATATCAATGGCTGGGAACCTGTTGATCATTGGTGAGTACATTTTGTTATTGAATCTAAGATTATGTGAAAAAAAATACGATTTGTATTCGACTACAAATCACATAGAATGCGTCCTTGATCATTTTCTCAGAAAACGAATAATAACCCAGATTGGATCGGTTTTGTTTTTGTAGATTCGATCTTCACATATTGCAAGTTGGTCTACTCTATTTTACCGCCGATTCACAACAGTAATATAGAATAATACCAATGAAACGGGTTCACACGTTCTGATTTTACATTTTATTTTTTTGTGATGAAAAATGTTTTCTGAAAAGTTGCAAATTGTCTTGAAAACTTAAGAAACAGTGCGAAGTTTCAGTTATATCATATCAGATAAGCTTTTATATTGCGGTAATTAGAACTTAATATGTGATAACTGACTTGGAAAAAACAGTCATTGCTAATAACTCTTGTTTTCTTTGAATAAAATATGATTAGTGTTTTGTCTTCCACTGATATTTTACAAATGCAGACCTGCTTCTTTGAGCAATCCGTACAGAACCCAAAGAAAAAAATTAAAGCTTTTTTACCTTGTAATGTTGGCGTCACATGTCCTTGCTCCTGACCAAAAGCACTCAGTATCAATTGTCCATCTTTCCTCCAATCCAAAGAAAAATTTTCCTCGTTATACAAGTTGATAGAGCACGGAATTGTAATTGGCGTTCCCGCCTTTCCCCAGTACGTCTTCATCTGGAATTCAAGAATTATTGTGAATGAAAATTGATTGTAAAGTTTGAAATTGTAAAATATGAATCTAGAGCTATTTTAATGAATGTGGATGTCGGAAATTGGTCAATACGAATGAGGATTGGATTTCTTTGTTTTGCCAAAATCTGTTTGACAAACAAAGGGCCAAGTTTTGAAGTTTTAAAGAAAAGGTGGACAGAGAAAAAGTTCTGAGAATGCCGGCACATCTTCCCCTTCCGTTCCCTCCGGTGCGCAGAACAGCTGTTCCCAAATGTGTTGACCTCTGAAGGATCAGAGTGCGCAGAGGAGCGGAAAAAGAAGAAGAAGCCCTAACAATGTTGTAAAGTATATGTTGCGGATATAAGTTGTAACGTTTCACCACACACCCTTCTCTGCTTTTGTGCTCCGCCAGTCAGTTTCAATTCTTAGTGGTGGTTAAATAAAGTGGTTGTGTCTCGGTGTCAGTCAACCAGGTTAAGTGAGTTGGAATGAATAACCTATGGTGGGTTCTATATTAGAATTGCATTTTCATTTACCCACTTCCAAAATAATAAATCAAACTCTTCAAGTGGGAAGGAGGGAAAAAATTGAAAATCTCTGCCCGTGGGTAAACTATTCAGCGTTTTTCAATCCAGATGGTGAATGTGAAATGAGATATGGAAGTAAAAAAGAGATTGAAATGGGGAAAATGAAAAAAAAGGAAAACGGAGGAGACACTTTTCCACACAAACTTAATTTTCTGGAGCTGTGGTCACACAACCTCACTTGATGCTCCAGCGATGACCTCCAACCACATGTTTTGATATCTGATAGCTTTTCCAAGACAACACAATTGTAATATACAAGAGTCCGGAACAAACGGGACAAGGCCACGCCTCGGAAACTCTGGTATTCTTGTCGGCAAGGAGTCAAGAATGATGAAGGAAGACGAGTGTTCGGGTTCGCGTGTATCAAATTACGACTTGAGAGTTAATTGTATATTCTGTTGTTTGTAGAAGCGTCACAGAAGAGTCACTGACTCCATAATAGAAACATGATTATCGCCTCTGGTGGCGGCAAGCGACAATGTTTCAATGAGTAGTCGGGTGGATTAGGTAACACGTCGATGTTTTATGGGGTGTGGTGCAATTAGTGAATAAGCGCCAACTAATTGTAACAAAATAAAGACAGTTGATATGAAAAAAAAAATTGACGATTTGTTTAGGACAGTGAAGTTACCGTACCGATCAATAAGATATAAACAACCGTGATATTAGATTGATTTTTGACCATCTTCATTATTTTCAAGAGTCTAGAAATCGGATTGCAAGTTTCCGGAAACTTTGAAAGTTTTGAGAGGTATAAAAAAGCCACAGTTTAAAAACTCTGTATTCACAGATTTATTAGAGATTTATAGTTTTTGAGCTATTTTCCAATTTTTAAATGGGAGCTGTTTTTGAAGTTTTCAGTAGAAAAACAAGCGAAAAAGAAATGACTTCCAAAAATCGGAAAATAGCTGAAAAACTCCAAAAGTTTCAAAGTGTTCGGAAACTTAAAAGCCAAACTTCAAATTCATAAAAATTGTCAAAATGGTCGGAAACAAACTGAAAAATACATTTTTGTAAACGTAAGTTATCGATACCAAATTTCTAAAACATCCCTTTTAAAATTGAAAAAATTCATTCTAAACTAAACTCGTTACTGGATTTTTCAAAAACTCAAACAGTACCAAAATCAGAGTTTAGAGGTAAGAAATATAGAAAATTGTTGAAATGATTCTTCAGAACAATTTACAACGTTCTGGATTTTAACTAGTCTGTCTCTAAACCAACAAAAAAATTAGAAAAAAAATTTTTAACGAGTTCGTTGAAATTGTTTCATTGGCTACGGTAGATCCGAACACGAAGTGTGGGACTACCTCCCCCTGGAAAAAAAACAGAAAACCAAGATATATAAATAACATGAGAGCACTCAGTAGATCAGGCAAAGATGGAGAAAGAAAACTAACGGGAAAAACTCTTGGTTCTGCACAATAAAACAGGAAAAAACACAAATTGACACGCCAAGTGTCAAAGCGAATAATTCAAAGATTCCGCTTCTCTCTTTTTGTGCGTTGTATGTGTGACACATCACACACAGCGGAAACGGACATGATGATGTTCTGCGCAGTTTTTCAAACCATCCTATCTTTCTCTCATCACTTTGCTTTTAAGGATGAGTACTCACAGCTTTCATACCCTCTACGCTATCCGCTCTTTTTTCCCGCGATCTTGTTTCCCCTTTTTATCCTTCGTCCCTCACATCCTTCTCAACCATAATGGAATCACTGTGTAGTTGTTGTACTTTATCACATTTTCCTTCTATCAATTCAGTTTTGCAACAGAATGAACTGCTCAAAATGGTGAACTTTTTGTTTCTTGGTATTTTGAGAAGGTCTCTGGTAAGAACGCCCTCTGAATAATTAGTGCAGTCACGCAAGGCTATAGTACTGGTTCTCGAGAATTTCTAATGAAGCTGTATGAAAGAAATGTGCCGAGATTGCCAAGATTGAATAATTGTATAGTTACGAAATAGGGAATTCAAATCTTGCAATATTCTAGAAATTGTTAAGAATTAAGGCCGGCCAAATACCATTTTTTGAGCTCGAGAAAGATATTAACATTTGAAATTTGTCTTTTGTGGTGATTACAGCTTTTGTGATGATAAGGTAAAGATATTTTGAAATTTCAGAAGAATATGTAAGTATCATTAATCTGGGACACACGATAACAGTGAATTTTGGAAATTTCTGGAGAATTGCTTATAAAAACTTTGAGAAACGGATTACGAGTTGTGCAAGCAGGGGTTTCAAAAGTTTAGAGCATTTTTTGAGGAAAATTTCGAACTGTTTCTTCATTGACAAGATTTTAATAATTTGCAAAACTTTAATATTTTTTTTCATAGGAACCGACCTAATTGTTGGTAACGCTATATTAGTATATTTACGGTAATAACAATTTTCAAAAATAAAAGTTATCAATAACAATAACCCTAAACATTAAGCAGCCGCGTTTTAACATCCGAAATTTTAAATTTCAAAAACTAGGAATATTCCGAGGTTCTCAGACTCCGAAAAATAACATTCGGCGCCTCCCGGGTCCCGAATTTCTTATTAGAACTACGCTCCGGCTAGTGAAACAGAACAAAAATCGCAAAAATATGAAACCCGAAAAAAACATGCAAAATTATAACTCACTTCTCCATTCTCTGTTTGTCTTCGAAAAAACTTTGCAGCATACCGGGATGCCATTCTGGAATAGAAAGTTTTGGTTTATCAGAAATAGTCACTGTAAATATATGTTAAAAGGACACCTGTAACGTTTACTTCGACCCAATTTATCATAAACCCTGAAGAATCTAACAACAGATTTTTTCCAAACTGATTTTGTTTATATTCTGGTGAACATGCCATTAATATACAGTTTTGTTATTTTTCACTACAAAGGAGATAAATTGAGTCAACGTTTGAAGTTTTAGAAACTTTTTAGCACAGGTTTTATGGTATATGAAAAGCCAATTTTTTTACAAATACTCTCAGTTCACTAGCTTTGAGGTACATATAATATAAATTCAAAAATGTGGGATCGGTGGTCATGAATAAGTGCATTATAACTCTTTTGGGGGTGTGGTCTCTCTTTTCTCCCAAAAGCTTATTGACCTCCCGTTTCACTCCCGCAAGTATTGCCCTTTTGGGCAGTTATATAATAGTGTAATCATAGATACAAACGTAAGGTGTCCGGACATAAAATGGGAAATAGAAAGAAGACGACGATGTTGTTTGGTAAGAAAGGCAAGAATAAGAAGAAGGAGCTCGAGACAATTAACAGAAATGGGTGTGACGGGCAGATGTTATAGATCTCCGGCCTAGTAACCAATCATAATTCCGGTTGGTTTACATAACGACATTAATCGGAAGTGCAATAAAAGTTGGATGAGAGAAAAATGAGGAAAATGAGAAAGCGTGGGAGATTCAGGGTACTTGAATTCTGGAGAATTTTGAAAGGGCAAAAATCACCTGTTGATCTTGGATTTATTTTTTTTTGTTGATTTTTTAAAACTACTGAATAGTCTTGTAATTTTTCCATTTTTCTTTTGAACAACCTTCCCTCTCAAGAATGTTCTGCGAATTTCAAATGAGTTCATTATGCTTAAAAGAGAGACAGTCTAGAAAATACTTCTGGGACGTTTTTTATTTGCTGAACTGAATGCAATTGAGAATACTTTCCTGTCGTGAAGATATCTATTTTCAATAACAATCAGCATTCTTTTTCCGGTAACATTCTCTCC